TTGCAGTTAACTTAAAAAAAAAAAAAAAAGACAAAAAAAGCCCCAAGTTAAACAAAAACTTACAGACATTTCCATGTGATTCTCACCAAGTAAAAGTCATATATAATTAACTTTTGAACACTTTAAAACAAGCATTTGAGGACACTGGCTTCTTCATTAGGGTTAAGCATTCATTTCTTAGAGACTTCCATGGAATCTGCTGTGAAAATACTTCTTTTGAAAGCGGGTAAATTTTATGACAGGCACAAGAAAATCTGTTAGATTCCTTATGAATTAATGTATTTCTACTTGTTTGTAATGTATGACTACTTCTGCTAGCATTTACACATTCTACTACAGGCAGCTGCCAAGTAGCAAGAGGTTTCTGGTGACTGAAATTTTATTGTTTAATATACAGCTGAACTTCAATGAAACCAAGTTTCTTTACAATAAGCAGTTTATTTAAACTATGAGAATGCCCAAGTTACTCACATTGTAAAAAACTTAATCCATCAAAAATTCTTACGTATATCAGTAAATTCCATATTAAGCAAGAATTAATAAATATTTTAAGGTGACAATATACACTTAGCAAGTATTCTATAAACAGGTTATACCACTCTGGTTTGGAACATGAGAACTATAAAAGTTTGGAAAAATCATCTGTATATGACTTCTGCAGATTTGATACCTGCATTCAAGAGTAAAACAAGTCACATCAATTACCACTTGTATTCTATTTTAAAATATATCTTGAAAATAAATTACTGTAATCAATGCCTTAAGTGAACAGGTGACCACCCATGTAACAAGATCAACTAAAATAAATAAATTACAATAAAAATTGTTGCTAGCACAAAATCATCATACAAAAACAATTATTGCATTTAGCTCTGCACAGAAGAAAATACCTTTTCTCAGCAATGTGAACTGCTATAGATGCTACATCTAAACTACCATCCTCTTTTTAGCTGAAAACTGTAAACAGCTTGTTTTGTGCTAGAGCTACAAAAGTATTATGATGCATTCATTTAAAAAATATTGAGTAAGTTTATTTCCAACTAATACTAATTTCTAAGAAACATCGAATCTTCACCTAAAATTTAGCTGGTCAATTTGTAATTTCCCTTTTATTTTGAATTTGAAATACCAGTTAACTCTTTACAGATAGCATTTATCATTAAAAAAACGGACTTGAGGAAGTTTGGGGTGGCTAAAGCAGTCCGAGAATTAAAATAAAGAGGTTAAATAGCACCCCACCCCCGCTCTTTTCCCATCAAAGCTCAGGAATTTTCCAGGCCCACTGAAGTGGCGCATCAAAAATTACTGTCACTGTCTCTAGACCTGTAAACACCAGCTAGAAATAACTCAGTCCTTTCGTACTCTTCTTTTGCGCACTGATTTCAGTGGAGGATCTCCCATTCCTTCATCTGCTTCTTTCCTCTGGAAAAAAAAATAAATTCAGCATTAACATTTTAAACCTATTTTAATTATTGAAACTGCCATGCTACTCCTCTTCCTGAATTCTCCAGACATTTTATCACTAAATGCAGCACTTAAGTGATAGGACATTTTTTTCCACACTACTAATCCAATGATTAATAAAGTGGGTAGAAGTCCTTTCCTTTCTATATTCAGAAGGAAAAGAATAGTATGTCTAAACTGATCTCAGAAATTTGTTTTTGCCCATGTCTTCGCTGGTTTAAAAGTATTGACTTTTAAATTAATTTAGTAACTTCCTTAAAGTGCACCTTTCACTATTTTATTTCCACTTCTGAAGTAAGACAGATTTAAAACATTTTAACTGTTCGCTTTGGAGAGCTACAAATCGAGCAAACTGTCCTTAAATCAGATGTAGTGTTCCCAGTTTAAAAGCAATGGACTTATGGAGGCACAGGAAAAGCCTTTCCAATGTGAAATCCATTCTCAGGCCATGCATTGCTTCCTCACTTTCCTGCATCACCTAATGGCAGGCACTTCTTTAGAAGGAATAGCTGATAGAATGTGGCCCAGCCTGAGTGTAGGACATAGGGTACATGATGTGTTCCAGACAGCTCACAACAGGAACACCTACACGCTGAAAACATTCACAGAAAAGCAAGCTGTGGCCTCACTGTGACACTGTGTAGTGCCACAGACACATTCGGAGCTTGCTATTACTTTCACGCAGAGTCATGTGACTCTTAGCAGAGTTCAGTAGATACTGTATTCCTGGGTAAATGTACAAGGAAAAGAAAATTTCTTACAGGAACAAGAGAAAATACAGAATAAGGGGTAATTAACAAAGACTTTTAGTGCTGAAACAATGAAACCTCATGCAAGGTACAGTTTCCTAGAAGAGTTTTACATGAAAATGAGTTAACATAACATTAAACAACTGCCTTAACCTGGAAAGTGACTCATTTAGGGAGTGACAAGCACAGGTTGATCAATGGGTTGATCTAAAGCATTTCAGACACTGCCAGCTTCTAAATGAAAGAATAATGAGTAGTTGACAAACAAGAAAAGCACAAATTCTATTCTAAAATGATATTTTATGAAAATAATTTTGTAGAGTATCTGGCTGACTGGATTAATCTGCAAAAGAAAAATGAAACTGCAGATGCTGTATTCAAAAACAGTATTGTTATTTTGCTTAAAACCTTATTTTGGAATAAAAAAACCCCAGAATATAACTGTAAAACGTAAGGTTTTTCTAGTCTCGGGAAAAGGCTATTCAGTTGGAAGCACATGTTCGATCAGTTAAGAAGCACAATGAAAACTGACCAATCTGCTGCAGTATCTGAATTTTCAAGACTTGCAATTCATTTAATAATCTGTTACAAACTACACTCCTGTAAAAACATTTCATGTGTAGGGTGTAGGAGAAGGGTTTACAGGCAACTTTGCCCCTGATGAGTTACAGCTGTGTTAATTACCAAAAACAGCCTAAGCCCTTAATAGGTCACAGGTATATCCAATAAGGATGAGTGTGATGAAAGGGTGGGTTGGCTAGTCAGGGGAATAACCTGAGGAACAGAAGGAACTGAGGTAATGAGGAACGATCCAGAGGAGGACTAAGAGGAGAGAAAGGATGGACCAAACAGGGACTGACCAAATCGGAGAGAGAATTGCAGCTGTGAGGTCAGTCTGAGTCTGCAGTAGGAGCCCGCAGACAGAGTCTACAAAGGAAGCTTACAGAGGGAGCTTTTTGTAGTCAGAGGCAGTGAGGAGCTGGAGTCAAATTATAAGGAACAATAAACTGGGACCCTTTCCACATTGTTGAACAAGGGTGTATGTCTTACCTCAATTCTATCTCTAATGTGAGCCCTGCTGCGACAGTAGGGAGCTGCCCAAACACTTCTGTACTATAACCTGTAATTATGCATTTGAGGTGTCAAACTCAAAAGAAAGAATATTTCTGCCTTGGGATTTGTTTTATGGCTCAGTGGTAGAAAAACACTTGAAGGCAACTGGGCTTAGTTAGAGGTATGATGGCAGACAATAGCTAGGAGAAAGTAGGGAAAAATGCAAACTTACCTCATCTTCTGAATCAGATTTATTTGATCTATCATCACCTTCTTGACTTTCATCTGGAACTTCATTTTCTTCTTCATCATCATAAATATCTTCACCACCTTCATCTTCTGCAGAAGTAGTTAATTTTACTTTGTAAACAGAACTGTATTACAAATACATTATATCCAGACATACTAATAAGGAAAATAAGCCAATTTCAGTCCTAAAATGAAAAGCTTGTTTGGAATATACCATAAAAACATCTCTGAGATATAGAGAGTAGAATTCTCATGAATTAGTAGAAAGTGATAACTGCCAGATTTAATAAACTACTTTAATAGCTCCAACTTTGCCTCTTGTCATAATAGCCCATACTGCCTTCAGACTTGTTACTGACTTGATTAATGGACTTGATTTATTTTACTTTAAAGCTAGCTATTGTACTGGACAGTTTTGAGACCAGAGTCCAAAACAGGACAACACAGGCATCCAAAATCTGACTAAATTCTGATTTAGATGGGGAAGTACAGTATTGCAGTTATCAGTCATCCAGCATGGGAGACACCTACATCCTAAGGGTACTCCCCTTTTCAGCAGGGAATTCTTCTGATATACTATTTTGATTGAGAGATAAGCAGATCTTTACTCCCCCCTTCTTGTGCATTTTTGCAATGCAGAAACTAGTCAGAAAAGCACTATACTCCCCTTAGCTCACTCAAAGTATGTCCAGCTTGCACTACTACTGCACTACCAGTACCATTTACAATAATTTCTATCAAGAGAAACCAAGATATCTTAAATCTGACAGAAAGGATATTCATTGGCATTTTGCAACTTAACAGTCTGCCAGTGGCTTGTTTAAAAACAGCAGTAAAGTAGTTCTCAATTCTGTCCTTGTCAGGACATACCTACATCTCAAAAGCACCACTTAGGTGTGAAAAAAAAAAAGGGAAAAAAACAAAAACAAATACCAAAAATACAGATTTTTGTATTACACCAGAATTTGTATCTTTGGTATTTGGTTTTTTCCACACCAAATTCTTACTGCTGCATCTCAGTTAAACTGAAACAAAAGTATACATAAAAATTTAGAATGCAATCACATATCAGACAAGACTCTGCTGATTCTTGGTGATGAAAATCTAGAAATACCTAATTTGTTAAAATATTTGAGACTTCTGTAGTAGTACCAAGAACTCTGGCTGCAATATAACTATAAATTGAACCAAACAGAGCTTCACTAACTCTTATGAAGTAAGAAGTTAGTTTTGCCATCTGTCAATATACCTGGTTTGTGTCTACTATGGCTCTATTTCTATTATCAAAAGGAGAAATATGACCAAGTAACAAAGATCATGGTTTAAGAAAGATGTAGAAAAATATCTCTGTCCTAAAACTAAGGCCTTAATAAAAGAGCTTGACAGAAATTCACAAAACCTTTGCTCATATTCTAATAAAGAGATTGGAAATGATAAATTAGGCAAATTCATCTCTTCCCATAAGTACAAATTTCAGTAGAGGGGGAAAAAACCCCAAAGAAAAAATACTTCAGACATCAGAAGCTGTAGAACCCAGAACTATACTATTTAAATTTTAAAATTTATCAAATAGCAATTGAAGCATTATTTCATATAAATAATTGTAGAACTTGACAAATAAAGCCTGTGCCCCTGAAATTCCATTTTGTGGCAACATTCTTTTACTTCCTGCAATATCTTTTTAGAGGTCAAGGAAAGCAAGGAGACAAAGCATACAAATAGATAAAGCCAAAAAATTAACATAGAACAAAATAAAACAGTAAATCCCATGGACAATGCCCTTCAAGAAGTACTCTGTCAGCAACTCATTGTCACTGATGTTAAAGAAATCACCAAGTCTTTCTAAAATTTGGTGCTGTGCCACACTTCCTTTCTCAAATGATCCATACAATGTGGATCTAAAGTCACTCAGTATTCCACAGCTCAAAATGCCATTGCCTTCAACTCCAAAAAAAACAAAGGAGGAGGTAATGACTATGAAGGAAACATAAAAATCATAAGGAGACAAAGATACTAGCAGAAAATATTTATGACTACAGATTCCATAGGGAGAAATCTCAGGGGAAACTTGCATGTGCACCTGATGGAAACTGGCATAAACCAGCCTGAAGTCCTACCATCAACAAGGATGCAGAGGGAAGAAAACAGATAGGAGAGACCCACTTGCAAGCCCTGGCCCAAACTGCTTCCTTTTCCTACTACCTGAAACGGGAGCCTCTCTTCCCATCTTCTTTGTATCCTTTATAAGCTCTCTTTTTGTTTCCACTTCTCTTCTCTCTGTAGCAAAAAGAATCAGGAAAAGGAGGCAGAAGACAAATTCTCTAATGCTTTCAGATACAAAGAGGCAAAAGAGCAATAGAAAAAAGGGGAATATTTCAACCCGCAAGCTTAAAAGGTGGCAGGAAGCTAAGCAATTCTTCTTAAAGCAAGAAACCATGAAGTCATATAACAGCAAAGTGTAATCTTTCTCTCTGAATCCTAGAATTTATCTGAAAACGCTGGAATAGTCATACAAAAGCTAGCTAGGTTAGTTTTACTTTTTTTTTTTTCTCCTTTCTCCTTACTTTTAGTAACTAAAAGTAAAGGTCTAAAATAAAACCTACCTTTGCAACACAATGAACAGCTGTTCCAATTAACAATTTAAGAAAGCTGTAGGAGCTGAACAATGTTCCTCTGCAATTGCCTGGGCCTTATTTCTAACATAGAAACATACATTTTAACATATTTATTAATACTGTTATTTATACATTTTAATGTATTATTTATTAATACTGAGTTGGGGTTGGGAGAAATTACCCTTCACTATGATGAAAACATGCTCAACTGAGAGAATTTTTGTATTAAATGTTACAATGGGGATTTGTTAGAGGCTTGCAAGTTTCTGTGAGGGAAAAAAAATATCTTAATACCATGGAGGGGATCTTGAGTCACCTTCAGAAGTAAAAGAGAAGATTTTTCCCAGGGAGAAAAAGGATCCCATCTGGAATTTATTACAGTACACAAAGCCAATAAAGTTGCTTAAAAAAAGACAAGCAGGAGTCAAACAACTTGAGAAGGCTGACCTAGAACAGATGCTAGACAGAGTTAAGAATAAAGTAGGTATTTATTAAAAGGCCTTAAAGGATACACCTTTAAGTACAGTACAAGAGCCTGGCCAGAGCTACACCCAAGATGGACCCAAAATGGTCACAAAATGGACAACTGGTCACAAGGTCTCACATTTTTATAAGTTTTGGTCCATCTGCATATCAGGGTTAAATGTCCAATTACAGTTTCAGATTATGAAGCTTATCCTTCTTGTTTTCTCTCTTCAGTCCATTGTTGTTTATGGTTTTGTGCCTGAAACTTGTAATAATTGTCCTTGGTATCAAGCTATGAAAGGAATTGTTTTCTCCACTCACTCTCTGAAGAGAGCTCACTAATGCTTAATATGAAGCTCAAAACTACACACCTAGGCAGCACAGAATCTGAAAAATATGAAAGCTAAAATTTAAGGCATCAATGTGTTGAAATTAAATTAACTGACTGACTTAACAGAAGAATATTGGAATTGAAGAATGGCAACCTTGCAGCAGCAGCATATTAAGTACAAACTATGATCTGCATCAAGACTGGGTAGAATAAAACAGAGTCTGTAATTCAGGAGCAAAGAACAGGTCAAGAAGAGTAAGATCAAAAGGAAAATGTAGGAAGATACAGTACTGAAATTATGTACCTACAATTTAAGCTAAAGTAAAGAATGTATATAGCATAACCAGAATAATTAAGTGCCTTGGTAAGGCGCTCGAATAGCAAGGCAGATGGACTAAGTTTGGTGTGGCAAGCATGTGCCAAATATGTACTCAATTCTGTCAGTACTGGCATGCAAACTGCTGATACTGAGTAAATTTTTAAGTCATACAGACAGAAGCCATCAACACTCATGGAACATGGTGCAAAGACAGACAAAACTCACCAAGTTTCAGTCAGTAATAAAAAGTGATGTCAGTACCAAGACAAAAACCCCAACAAAACATGAATATCTGCTATGTCTCTAATTATGCATGCCAGTCCCTTGTCACTTTCTTTGCTTTCACCAAGGAAGAGTGAAATAAGAGACAGAATCTTGCAGAGCTCTGAAGCTAAAAACTTTCTCAAAGTCAAGATAACACATTGTAAGTTAGGTGCTTTGGTTTTTATTCATTTTATAGACACAGAAATGCTAACAGCACCTCAAAGCTATAGCTGAGTAGTACCCAATAATCTTCAATACCATGGGATGATTTTATCTTTGGATGCTGAAGTACAGTTCAACCTACTGAGTCATTAATTTCTCCCTTGGGCAGTAGGACACACTTCTGCAGGCATGCAATAGGTTGCTAGAAAGCAGCATGAAAGAAGCTGCAGACTTCAGCATGTCAAGCCTACTGCATTTTCAAGCTTTAACAAGAATAACTCAAATCAGCCACCAATAGAACAGTATAACCCTCCCACAGAGGTATAAGCGGATTTCTGTTAGAGACTTAAAGCTATTCCATTTATTGTATTTAATTATTTTATTAGTTTATTAAATTTTATTCAATTTATTTTATTTTAAAATTTAATTTTAAAGAATAAAGTGACCGTAATTGCTTCAGGTACTTTTATCGGATTAATTAAGATGTATTTAATATATGAAATATATAAGGGATAACATATGTATCACTGTCTACGAATATAAAAAATAGTGTTGGAAGCATGTTCATTTCTTTAAAGTAAAAAAATGCTGGGCATACTTCTGCTTATATTTATCAGAGCTATTAGCCATGGGATGCCACTCACTGAAAGTTATCAAAGAGGAAAAAAGGCTCAGAGCAAGGCACATCTCACATAGTCTAAGATAACAGGCTGCAATTATTGGCAATGCAATCTATGAACTAGTTCTATTCATGTCTTTAACCAAATTGCAAGCTGACACACTCATCTTACCATCTTCACCAGTATCTTCATTTTCTTTTTCCTCTTCTAGTTCATTATCTTCCAACTCTTCTGTCTCTTCCTTTAGTTCTCCCTTTGTAATTTGCTTAGATACATCAGGTTTTTTGAAGTTAATATATTCATCTGATTTCTACAACAAATTAAAAATCTATTTATTTTCCAACTCTAAGAATTAAACAGGCACTGTAAGCTAAGTAATACCAGTGACATATTAAAAGGGCGTATTGTTGCACAGATGCTTAGGAGTTTCCAAATTAAGTATTAACAATAAAACCAAATAAAAATATAATAAATTTCACTAACCTTTCCTGGCCAGCAGAACAACACACTTAGACCAACAGGGAGAGCTAAAGTCAAGATGTAAAGAACCCAGAGCCATGGGTGTTCTTCTGCAGCAGTCACCAATTGACTAAACATACCAGGCTGTATTTTAAAAAAAAAAAAAAAAAAAAAAAAAGCATTTATATCCCTCTTAACATTTAAATAAGTTTATGAAGTGTACTGTATACATTTATATTGTCCAAAACCCTTCCTTACCTTTGCTTTTTAATGACTAAAACAATATTGCATTTGAATACTAGTAAAGCAACAAATCTACAAATTGCAAATAAATGTTCAGTAAGAAGGAACAGATGTACAACTCCAAACTTACCAGACTGGCCACAACTCAACTTTGTAAAGTAACATTTGGAGACTTAGCAACCTCACACTTTACACCCTTCCCACTACTCTATTTTTGCTGCACACTGTGCCAACTCAGCTGAAAGCTTCCAAAGCATCAAAAGCCTGAGGGCAGCAGTTCCCGAGGAGCAATGTTGGCTCCATCTATACTACCACCTTCTCTCCTTTGACAGCCAATTAATTATTCAGGGAGTAAACTGTCCTCCCAGCACTGCTCTGACTTATGCAGTAGAGACACTTAGGCAAGTGTCTGGTGCATCTCTGTAAGAGGTACATCAGGAGCTAAGGAAGTTTGAGAAGCACAGTGGAACAAGGGGACTCAGAGGAATTTTTTTGCCATTGTGTATACAGGTACAGATATAGGTTCAGACATTAACCCAAACATTTTGGAAAAGGGCAAGGTTGTGTGAAGAGACAGCTTTCCTGCTTGCATGGACAGATATGCTGTTGCTACTTGCTCACTCTGTGACAAACAGCAGCTGTAAGGAATTGGCCACATTTGCCACCAACCCATCATTTCTCCTGCACAACTGTAGCCTGCTGTTGCCATTTAATCAAATAGAATAGAGGACTGTTATACAGAAACAGAAGTGCAGGCAGCCACTAGAGGGTCCTGTGATCCCATATGGCAAGGCAGATCCATCCCACAGCATTGAGAAGAGAGATGAAGGCTGTCAAAGTGCAGTACACAAACAAAATGTGGATACAAACAGAACAGAAGCAGCTCTATAAACACATGCAGTACTTCCAGAGCTGCTTAACACACACCTAAGCAGCCAAAGGCCTAAAATTATTAAACCGAAACAAACACTAGACTATTCATTCCTCATGGGATGGAAGCATCTAAAGAATATGTATCATGGATATAGCCACAAGGGAAAACAGGGGGTGAGGGGTGGGAGGGGAAGTCTTTGAGTGTAAGTAACTCAGCCTTCATTCTTTCACTTGCTGTCAGGTACTGAATTTCTAATATCAATTTGAACAGCAGAAGGCTTCACAGGAAGTCAATTTTTCACTAGATGTTTAAGTAAAATGCAGTACTCTTTTAACCTCAAGAAAATATTCATCTGGGAAAGGTAAAAAAACAAACTACAAGACAGAGACCCTATCAGTTACTCAGAAAAATTATTAATTGCAGACAAATTAATACTCTGTCAGCACTGACAGAAAATTCTTCCAAATACCACAGCTTCCTCACTTCTTTCTAGTATCAAGAACATAGTAAAGTTTATACCTCATTAGCACTTGCTACTAATTTCTTCAAGCCCCAGCTATCTGCTGCCCAGCGATCTGCTACTTCTTTTTCTGAACATATGATGAAATTATCAAAGTAGATATCAGATGTCATAGACCAGAGCTCTAAACCAATAGCACTGACAGTGGTCATCTTGAATGGGTGAAGATCTTCAAAATAGTCAGGATTTGGTATTTTCCGAGGGCTCCAGATTCCCTGTTAATGGAAACAAATTTAATCACATTACCTAGAGCTCACCAAAAGAAAAACCTGTGAAAGAGATTTCAAAATAGTAAGAACTTTTATTAAAAAAAAACAAAAACAAACAGTAGAGTTTAAAGTATCTAAAACAGAACTGGAAATAGCCTGTAGGATTTTGGCAGATGGGTCTCAATTTTATGGCTTAGGGCAGACCTCCTAAGTAATTTTTTTCTTTTTTACTGTAGAGGTTGCAGTAATAACTGACTTTTACCAGAAGTGTTAAAGAAAATTTTAGGGAAGGAAAATTCAGCCTTATGATACCTGTGCAAATTAGAGCCAAATTTTGTTTGCAAACCTGCTTAGGACTTACCCTCAGAGATATCAGATTCAAATACTCCCCAGCCTAATAATAATAACTAATACAAAGTAACTCTCTTTAATATCCAGCTGATTATACCTCTTATATTTGGAGGGGAAGAAGGGAATTTAATTATCCCAAATTGATGCTTCCTCTAAAATTGAACTAGTAAGGAAATCTGCTTACTGAAAGGCCTCATTTGTTAATATTAAAAAATAAACTAATTTAAAAGATTCACATTTGAAGTCCTCATGTAATTCAGAATACAATTTTCTGAAGACCATACTAAATAAATGGTACCAGTGCAAACTGTAAAAAAGGCAACTTTAAACAGGCAAGTTGTTTTAATACAGGATACATTGTTGTTTCCCAGCATACTTCAAGGGAAAAAAAAAGGAAATTAAAAGCAAAAAAAAAAATCTCAAATTAGTGAGGGTATTCAGACTCATTGTAAAATCAAAAAAGCCTAAGTAAATACTATTTTTGACTTACTTGCTCTGCTGAACTCTGTATCCTTTAGCAATGATCAACATTTGGCTATTACCTGATAGTTAGGATTATCTATCATAGGTGCTCTCCATTTTCCTTTATACTTTGGGTTATTCTTCATGGGATGCACCCACTCTCCACAACCAGGTGCAGTCTCACATTTTGGATTAGGGATCTGAGGGGCTTCCCACTCCCCATCCATTTCTTCATCCCTAGAGAGGAAAAAAAAAATTATGAACAACTGCTTTAAGATCATCCACCTGTCAAACACTGGCAGTCTGAAGTTAGGGTCCATGTATATTGTTGTAACAACCTCAGAACCCTGACCACCTCACAGAACTTTAACCAACAGTATAAACACTTTTTTAAGGAGTGCTACACCTCCTTATTTAAAGGTCACATGTTCATAACTACCACAGCATGACTGACTTCAATTACATTTCTGCCTCCACAGACAGCTTGAAAGACTTCTACCCAGGATGCTTAGAGATCCCTTTGAGACTTATATTATGATTTCAAGTTATCAACTTAAACTGTATCAAATTCTTTCGAAGAGGACCTTCATATTCTGGTTTTACTTATATATCTTCAGAAAACAAAAAGCAAGGAGAAGTTTGTGGTGGCTACCAGCTGGCCTGGAGGCCTCACAGTCTAAGATAACCCTAATTAGTACTTGACCAGTCTAGGCCATTAGGGAAAAGAGGTAAACATCCCTAATAGAAAGGCAGTGTAAACCTGGGAGATTTAAATTCAAACAGCACCAGTCAATTCCTGGCAAGCATGGATGCAGACAGCTGGGTGGTAACCAAATTCAGCTAATCAGGACCAATCATGCAGGTTTTCAAAAACCATATAAAAAGGAACTGCCCTCAATAAAAATTTGTTGTTGCCACATGAACTATGCAATGTCATGTCATGTCTGTCTCAAATGTGACATGAGTTCATGTTTTTATTAGAAGCAGTTCCCCACACCAAAAAATATTTGGCCATACCTTACACATTCCAGCCTACTACCTCAAAAGACAATGAGATTTGGACTGACTTCCATAACTAATAATCTGCCACAGAGAACAGTCTTGTCTACAAAACACATTAACAACCTGCACTTACCAGTCCTTTGGTTTATTTGCATTAGGGTCTGGAACATACTGTGGTTCATCATCAAGCCACCCCTCAGGCTTAACAGCATCAGGATCTTCTATTTTGGCAGGTTCATCTTCATCCCTTCAATTACAGACTTATGTTAGAAAATACAGCAGCCTGAATTTGGACCAATGTTCTGTTCAGAGAACTACAACTGGCATGAAAGGGATTATTTTCAAAAACATGACAGAATTAGACTCACTGATCATGAGCATTAGACATATAATTAATTACCTGCTTATAAATATCTGGGTTATATTTACTTTTTTTTTATTTAATCCATAAATCACTGGTAGTAAATGGCAGGTGTCAGTCAGGTCTTCCCACTGAAATTTTCCCAACTTTTCTTGAGTTGCCATAAGAACAGTAGTTCACACAAAAGTATAAATTCATTGTAGATTAAGACTACATGGTAGAAAAAACTTCTTATTCATGTGTAGCAACCTTAGTTACTACTTGCAACCATGCAGGGTACAAAATCAGCAAATAATGATTTTATTTGTCTCCTTAGAACGTGACCAGATCCTTACACCCACCTCCATTATGTTTTCCAACTTCAGTGCTTTTAGTGAAATGTATTCCTATTGTCACTAGCAAACCCCAAAATAAAACCAGTCAAATCTTTCAAAAAAAAAAAAAAAAACCTGTATGTAAAAGACATTGTAAAAATTAAAATATTCCCCTTACCAGTCATCTGGTTTGACAGCATTTGGATCAGGTATTTTTGGTCTCTCATCCCAATCATCAGGTTTCTTATCAGTAGGATCCTCTATTTCTTTGGAAGGATTTACTGGAGGAATCATATTCTCAAGAAGACTTCCTTTACTGACAACTATTTGGTCGATTAATATTTCAAATGTATCATCTGGTTTTAGCACTAAATGGAAGAAATTTATATTGGAGAAATAAGGGAGCCATTTAATTTCATGGATATATTTAACAAAAACTCTAAGCACAGACTAAGTCAAATAACAGCAAACAGGATCCTCACTAGCAGAGACAGACTCCTCAATCAGGCACTAGATCTGGACACAAAAACACTGCCCTTGAGGGGATGTATGACCAGCATCAGGCCCCCAAAGATGAAACTTGAAGAAAATTCAGTTGTTGAAATACATCCAAACACATTCTAAGAGATTTTTCAAAACCTACCAACTTGGCCAAAATTCTGTGTTTTTACTTCAAAAGCACAAACAGTGAAAAAAAGAATCTCTCTACCCAAAAGGCATCTCTGCTACTAAATTACAATCTCACACTTGAAAGCATGGGAACAAGAACTGTACCAGTAACACAGCAGACGGATCAAAGCAGTATTTTCTATCAGGTACTAACCTCTAATAGCCATTTCCCTCCAATGCCACATTGCAAATGCTTAAACATTTGAAGAGAATTTCCTAGATGTTAGCAAGTGTAAGTAACTGAGAAGCCAAGGTCACAGAACTGAGCAGTGTCAGATTCAGTATCCAGATGTATCCAGATTTATTTCTAATAGGCACTTATAATAAATGTGTTCACTGGTTAAATAGCAGATTCAACTGTCCATCTTACATAAGGAAGATTTACTTAGTAAAAGTAATTACCATTCCACTTGTATGACTGTTTTCTAAAGACAGGTTAAGAAAACCAGAGTAACAGTCTTGTAGCAGTTTGATAATATCTAATAATGGCCTTCCAGCCTGAAATTTTTCAACAGTACTAAAATATCCATAAATGCAAAAATGAAACCCCCATAACACCTTTAGATAAAATACAAAGAACTAATTTTTAAATTCCTGTTATCAGTCACATAAATGCAATGGAATCACATCGCTCTATGGAGTCTGTTTGAACAATTCTGAAAACAGAATAAATGCAATCCAAGTTTAAGTACCTTGATTCATAATTTCTAACAAACAATCCAAATACAGGAATGCATGCATTCCTTTATTATGACATTCCTATTATCTAAAAATATAAGTTTGCTGCGGCATACTACAGCAGTCTGTTTTAGAAACCACTAAATTTGCCAATGGCACAGCACTTTAACATGCCTTCTGTTATTCAGCGGAAGTTCAAAGGTACAGTCAGTTTGGCTGAATTTGTAGCATGCCACAGATTAGCCCATTCTCTGATTGCTATTCTTCCCCAGAAGTTAGAAAAAGGGAGTAAAAATCAACTTAACTTTCATTTCTCCGTACAGTTCACTGGTACAGGAAAAGTTGTCACATGAATTAAAACCAGCCCGTACTCATTTACTTCAGAATCTGTGCTAACCTATCTGTTCATGCACACTGCTTCAGATGCAGGTGTTGGTGGAAACTCTTAACACGTGGAAAAGTGGTGTGTGGCATGCTACAGATTTAACTGCATTCCTCTGAACTCTGACACCTTCCTAGAATATTGGGCAGTTGTACATTTTAATATCCTTTCCCAGTAAATATAGTTTTATTACAGTAATTACTGAAGGCATTTATTAGTAAAAGCTAGTAAGGGTGATATGTTTTTTCCCGTAATTGAATATTAAGCAGTAGCATCTGAAAGCTACTTTTATGTCCTTTAGTTTAACCCAGTCATCAAACCATTTAACCCAAATCATTAAGCAACCACCCTCAGAATTAACAGGCTATTACAAACAAAGACTCGATTACCAAGCTTCAGCAGACAAAACCACATTTTTAATCTCTCCAATTTAAGAATTGGAATTCCACTTTTAAGAACTAAATAATACCAAGAGTATATAGATGTGTCTTCTTGTCCAAATAGTATTTTTTTAGGTCTACATCAGGACGTTCAGCATGTTTTTCATCATACTCTCCAGTTTTAGGATTCTTATGTCTGAAGATAAAATGTAGTTTGTAATCTTCTCCACATTTATCTGGTCCAAACATAATAGTGTAGGGTGTTTTGTCAAAAAAGTATTCCTGTAAAAGCAAGAAAGCTGAGAACGTGTTATACTGGACATTTTATTACATCTCTTTTGGTACTTCTTTTTCTTGGCAGAGAGCATAGTTACCTATTTCTAACAGGTAAATGAAAAGTGGTAGGGTAAATCATGAAAGGAACTCAACAGTCCTCTGGAGTTGATTGGTGCTCTCTGTTCTCTAGGAATGGACTAACTCTCAGTCTCTTCAAGGCAGATGGATACATTTATAACTTTAGATTTTATCCTTATGTTCAGTAGGAATGTCTGTCACAAATCAAAACCCAAATATCTCTCTCCCTCTACAAACATTACACTAAAAGATGGAAGGGAATTAGTTACTGTTCTTCTTTACAATTTTATTTTCCAATAAAGATAAACCCCAGGAAACTAATATCCTGTATTTTATCAGTACGTTTTTCTGTCTGCATTAAGTAACAGCAACAAACAACCCTGAAAATATCAGATATAATTATTCTCCTTCAAAGTATGTTGTTTTACGCAGTTATGTCAGTATCTTTTAGCTATTTATGTTTTTTGTGTTTGGAATACACAATAACACACATGTGCTCTTCAAGAAAAAAATTGTTTTACAAGAGTTAAGATCCTGTGGCTTCTACTAATACAGGAAGTCATACTAAGCATACACAAAAGTCCTCCATCCTCGATATCAGACACCAGCCATGGAGAACCAAGCTGTTCCCCAAATGAACAATTGATAGCAAATATTAAGCAAGAGGACATACCAGATTCAAGTCATTGCTACTGGAGAGAAGTTTAATATATGCACCACCACAGTCAATGCCTTTTTGAAAATTCACTTCATATCTGGGCAAAGAGAAAGTGACAAAAACATTTTGAGTATCAGAAAAATAAAAATTAACTGCTAATCTGCCATTCTAATTATGAATATATTGATTATATGTGTATTAGTACCTACTGTCAAAACACTTCTATGTAAGCAGAATGTTTTAACTTACTAATAAGCATCAAATAAAAAATCTGAAGGATTACTTACTGAACAATCAAAGGTTTGTCATCAAAAACAAATGCTTTCGTTAGCATTGCTGATATTGCATGATACTTTGCCACTGATTTTAACACTAATCCTCTGTCTCCGGGCATTGCGTTTTCTTTCAGCTCTTCTACTTCCCATCTTCCTAAAACACACACACACAAAGTCTTTGAAAAAATGCAGTCTGATGTAAAGAAATCACAGCCTTGTTGAAAGCAAAAAGTTAGCAACAAATAAATACTAGTTGCCAAAGCAGAGAAGAAATGTTGGCATCTTATGTCAAAGATGTTATTCCTTGTTCTCAAATTTACAAAAATCGGTAAATAAACTTTAATACTGTAGATCTGTATTTTTACGCTGTGGTATCCTACGATGGCTAGATGAACAAAATATTTCTCTAGATTTCACATTTATTTCTACCATCATCACATAAAAAACATTAATCACAAAGCACTGTGTAAAGCATCATTACTTTTTTCTGCTTACATGGAATTAGAACCTCTTGAGTCAAATCTAATCACAGGCTAGATGAAGTTCCCTCCTCCTCCCCAAAGTCTTTCCATAAATTATGGTCCAAAACACAGTCTACAGCTTTGAAAGTAGAAGACTGTATATGTATACATTCTCCAACTTTGGGAAAAATACAGTTGAATACACATGTGCCCAATATCCAAAGAATAAGAATTCTTCTAAAAGGGCAGTTACATTTTCTCAGAGATTAACAGGACAAGATTCACTGGGTTTTCTTCCAGGAAAGAACACAGCACCAAAGCCCCTACTTCTACAATCCAACTGTAATCTTGAAGAATGCCTGTGTCAATGTAAAAAGGAAGAAAACATCAGGAGTTCCTCAGCATGTAATTTAGAGAAGATTCATAATTTGTGATATGCAAACTTCATTCATAAATGTGATATGAAAGTGATTTACTTTTATTCAGCTGACATGTGATTAGTCAAAGTTGTTAAGGAAGGGCACATATCAAAGTCATTAACAAATTCCTAGTTTCTTCTAGCCTAATAGACAGGAAGGAGGAAAATTCCATCCACTTCAATAGTGTTCCTTCCTGGAAACTAACACCAAACAATAATGCAAGGCAAAACAAGAAGACTGAAAAAAAGAAATGGAAAGTAGTTAAAAAAAAAATGTCTGTATCATAGACTTTATTAAATGCTGAATTTTCTGACTTCAAGCAAATATGACTGTTCAGACATTAAAGACAATTTTTTATCTCATATGAAGCCAAGTAATCAGAGATACCTCATTTCTCATAAGCATCTCATCTATGTGGCTATCTCCTCTGCAACTTCTTAATTTTACCAATTACCTTTGGTAACCACTACATTTAGAATCCTCAGTTCTACTCTGATCTGCACACCGAAGTTCTTCAAGTTATGCTCCTTTACCACTTTCTATTAACATAACTGATTTCATTTGACATAAGAACAGTAGCAAATACTTCTCTGTTGCAGTAGGAACTTCTTCTCCCCACTCCCTCTTGAATGAAATAAACTCAGGCTGCAAAATTATTGCTGCAGATCATACATCTGCCAAAATTTTAAGCAGCCAATTCTAGACTAGGAAATCACAAGTGCAAACTGCAATGGTTAAACCATCAGTACAATGTTTTCATTATTGCTTTCCAAATTTGTTTTGGCTACTCTAAACTGTTCAAGAACCATTGAAGAGCCCTACATCAAGTACAGACAATCTGAGAAAGTATTTTGAAAAAAAACATCATGCAGTTTTAACTTTCTTGCTTCAGAGACTATACCAAGAGACCAATCCATGAATCAGTAGCAGGATGGATGGAGCAAAATGGAACAGTGCTCTAGAAAACAGTTTAACAACTGAAATCGAAGTGGTAAATCTCTCTCATATGATTTCAGAGAAGACAGTTCTAAAGAAACAATACTCATAAACAAACAGTATTAAATATTCAGATGCCAAAGGGTATCCAAAGGGCAATACATTGTTGGAATGACAAAAAGTTATCTCCACGCTAAGCAACCCAGTGAGCAACATTTCAAATCTCAGTTTCAGGATAACAGTCATTATACAAACTAACATTCTTGACCTATGCCATCTAGATATTCAAAGGTAAGTTCTGTGTTATTTCTCAAAAAGCAACAGAACATCACAAACTACACAGTGGAGGTAAACATTAAAACTGCTTACCATCATACTTAGCAACATTATCATCCATGTCTTCTTTCAGAGTTACAGACAACACCCACCTAAAACAAAAATTGTACTGGTCATTGGTCTATTTATGCAAAGCTGTATTATTTAACAAACAAAGGAAAAACAGCTCTTGCTTCTAGGCTGTGAACTTGTAATACTGATTTTGAGTCAGCATCATGGAACTGCATGTAGTTCAAAGAACATGCAAAGAAAAATTAAAGACTAGTCTGATATAGCACTTCAAAGTATTTCCTAAAAATGTAAATGAATAGACAATTACAAGTCTAAAGTAATCAAATTCCTGAATTATTTAATTCTGAATAAACTTCAGTTTTATACACCAGTTCAGTTTGGCAGAATGGAATATGCATATAATATAAAAAATGCACAGAAACTAGCAAGCTTCAAGTATAATACCTTCAATATGATAAGGAAAGAAAAAGAAAACAGCCAAAGGAATCTTAATTTTATCTGACAGTAACAGTACACATGCATAGCAGAGGACACAAGGGAATGGTAAGCGACAAATGCAAGGTTACAAGTGTACTGCACACAGGAGATCCAACAGGGCAAACACACTCTTGATTTCCTCAATTCTATGAGCAAGGCACACTTGACTATCTCATTAAGGTTATCAAAATATATGCACAGTCTCCACACAAAGTTTCTTTAGGAAAAGAAGAAGAAAGAAAAAAAAAAAGGAAAAAAAAAAAAAAAGGCAGTCCAACCTCATCTGGACATACAGTGGTTCTATCAGGAGCCATACACAGGAATATCTTAAGCCAACAGTACTGCTGCTGAACTCTTTATTGTATCAACCACAGTAATTCATTCTTATGAGTTATTCTGGAAAGAATTATTTTCATTCATTCTAAACTATCCTCTGCATGGAGTGATTCAAGGATGAGTATCTTTGTTGCTTGAATTGTAGTCCACTGTTAACAGAGATGCTGGAAAAGCTTCACGGTATAAACAGCAAACTAGATCCTTGGCCTACCAAGAGAGGGACCAGTGAGGATATAAAACATCTCTACAAGTTATGTGAAAGATTTCCAAGGTCCATTCTCAAAAAGGCTACTCTATTCTTATCTAGTCAATTTAGATGTACTCTTTTCCACACTTTAGGGAAGAAAGGCAACATGTGGCTTACTTTCTTATAAATCTTTCCACTGTACTCAGTCTTATGTAAATTATGCATAGCTAGACCAAAAAAATCCCAAGCATTGTAGCTAAAACTTTGAACATCAGATTTAGGAGGAAGACAAACTAGTCTTTGAACACATCTCAAAAAGCTAGAAACTTGGAGGAATTATATCATTCAAGTACCTCCATTAAATGTTTGCATCTGTTAATCAAGGCTTTCAGTGATTTGTTTGGTTGTTTTTTTAGCAACCATTATCAACTATTTAATATTTTTTTTTCTGTCATCACAGTTGCTGCTTTTGCATTTAGCATTTAGAATTGACACATACCTAAGATCATGTGAAAAGAAAGAGATTGCTACTGAAATGTAATGGCACTTCACATCTCAGCTAGTTAAACCAAACCGGCTAAAGCTTTATATTATTTTTCTTAATGACCACATATCCAGAGTTTATTAAAAGCTTCCTTAAAACACATACAAAAAATATATTTAATATATTTGAAATGTTAAGTGTCCAGCTTAACGTTATGATGTATTTGGAGCAAGTATTAATAGCCTTCCCAATTCTAATCACCATAAAAATAATTTTTTAAGATAGTAGCAGAAAAATGAATACAAAGTGTTGCCACTGTAAGTTAAACTGCTGGAAGTAAAAGTTTATCATTTTAAGGCATAAGCTTACCCAGACAATCCTTCATCAAAGGTTTCTGTAAAATACACTTCCCCAGTTGGCTTTGGAGTCTGGTACACAACCTAAGAGATATGTACAGATACACATCCCAACATAAATTACAATTTTTCATTTGAAATCCACTCTCTTATCTCCAGAAGTAATCCACCCAGGCAGACCAACAGATTTTCTTCATCAGAAATACCTAGCAGCATAAAACCCCTTCTCCCTCACCCACATTTCAATAGTTTGTGTGCATCCCTCCAACAATGAGCAATCTCACACCTCTGAATTTTAAAAGTTGCTTCCTCTGTTCAAAGCTCATAACTAAAACTTTGTTACATTCTGTGTGAAACAAAACCCCAAAGTTTTTCTGAACTTGCACCAAATCTACTTCCTCCCTGTTTCTTTCCTTGTATGTTTTCTATTCTTCTGTTTTCCCATCTAGTGTCCACATCTATTCTGAAGAATATCATACAGATTTTCTTGTAATAAAGACTGTGCAAAAAGGCAGATGTGACTGATGAAGTCAAGAAACTGGTCTAAGGTCAAAGTCTCAGTGAGACCAAGGTGCTTTCCATTTACTTCTTTAGAAGTGGCATGTTACAACTTGCAACAAAAGGTTCTGTATCTAGATTGAAGAAAAACCTTCTTCATGACTATCAACCACAGGCAGGAGATTTTACACTTGGGCATAAGGGATTCATTCATTAAGTTTGCCGTGTATGTCACATATAGCAATTGAAAAACTCAGACTGCTATATTTGAGACCCACTCAGCTGTCAAATGCAGATTAACTTGCTCTAGTTGTAACTATGCATCTTGTATTTAACTAGATTAAACTAAAGACTTCTGTAATCTTACCTCTATAGAAGATTTATCTCTGTCAACATCAGCTTCTTGGGACTCCTTGTCAAAATTCTCCACTTCAACATCTGCATCCAGATTTTCTTCGTTTCGCATTCCTGCAGTCACTGAGCTAATTATCAGGACACCCAAGCACAGCCAGTCCCACTGGAAGTGCATCTTGGTTATCTGAAGAACTGAAAGTTTTAGCATTTAAGTATCATTTTGAGAGCATTATCAATACTGTTTCAATTTTACCCCAGACTTTCTCTAAAATGAAGAAAAAAAAAAAACACATTAAAATAATGAGAAATAACTATCAGAAAGTGTTGTCACTGTAATATGATCTTAATTTGCTTTTTTAAATTTCTTATTACTGAGCCCTGACTCAGACTCTCTTTTCCCTCCTGTTTTCCCTATGGAAGTGCCTACAGCCTGTTCCTTTACCTTGCCAAGTCGAGCAAGAATCTGACTGTAATGTATATGCATTTTTAAGAACTAAGCAAGACTGCTTTTATTTTTCTCATTCGTAAACAATCTGAACAAGCAATTAAATTGAATCAGTCTCTACAATGCAGCAGTAAGTAGCATCCTTTTCATCAGGAAAAATAAAATCAGAGATTTAGAATGTATTATTATCCACGGCCAGAACTGCATTTGTATTTGCCCCTACTTCCAATGACAACATTTAGAGAAGTGCAGAGTGTATACTGGCTCTAGCTATAAGTGCCAAAAGAAAGTATAAGATGGTTTCAGAAAATATTCACTGTTTCAAAATTATTATCCAGTAATTTTTAAGTTAGGTAGATCAAGAATTTAAGCTTAAATGCAAATACCTTCCTAATTTCAGGTAAACCTGAAAATCTTTAATCTCTATAAGTATGAATGTCAACAGCAGACAACTGGTCTAGCCTCTCAATTTAATCTGCCATGAAAAAGATTGTTGCCCAGTATTTTTTGCTTTACATCTGTAAGAAATACAAATCCAATTTTATGTTAGAGTATCCAGTGGTTTGAGGAAGTGCAGTGTCAAAAATGCCTATCTAAGTTTCTTCAAAGGTCTTGCAAAAATGCTTTTTTCCAAAATCATTTTTGTCTGAATTTGGAAACAGAATGAAGTCAGATTCTTGACACATGTGCTGGTTTTGCATTAATTGATTCTTGGTGAGGAGGGAAAGAACTAACCACAGAAGTGATTTTTCTGAGAGGAGCTGTTAAGAGCTTCCTCCATGCCCGACAAAACCAATCAGTGACTACTTTTGAAGATTGACTCAGTTAAACCACTTAATTACGCCTCCATGAAACACATTTTCAAGACAGGCAAAGCCGGGAAAATTTCTCTTTGCTTCTGGCCTTGAAGAGGTAACTGGGTGCCGGTTGGGCTGGCCCTGCTCTGCCACGAAGCGTGTTGCTGCTGAGTTCTAGCCTGGCTGCTGAGATCCTAGCTTCCTCCCCCACAGCATGGCCCCGGAGAATCTTCCACTGTAAACCGCTCCAGCCACCGTCCAGCAGAGATTACATGGCCCTCCGTAGGCCCTGGGTGAGATACTAACTTTTTTACTGCACAGATGAAACTTGCAAACATTAACCCTCTCTCAAGTGAGAGAAAAGGACAGAGTGAAGACATGTAGAGAAACAACATGGAGACACCAAGCTTGGTCAGTAAAGGAGTCAAATCTCAGATGGAAGGAGAATGAGGAGATATCTTAGTATTGGGCTGAAATTCTGTTGTGAGGGTATGCTGAAGATATGATTGATACATCAGACTCTTTTCCCTGTAACTCATGGAATACATTTTGGGGGGATGTAGTGTCCTAACCACAGCCATGAACAGAGGCCTCCACACTGAAGTAAGCATGTGTTGAAGTAGCTGTGATCCAAATGAGGAGCTTGAACACAGAGAGGTAAAAGTGATGAAGACCCTTTTGTCCCAGGGAAGAAGAAGATGATCTCTGTTCTTGGAGATGATCTCATGGATAGATGAAGAGAACCTGTGCTTTTACACAGCGCATCCTTAAAATAACATCCCAATAAGTTGACATGGCCCGTGAATGCAGCTGTGGGAAGGCTGCAAAAAGATGGGAGGGACTTCACAATTGCATATTTCTGGGAAGCTGGTATTAGTGGAAATTAAAAGCCATGAGAGAACTGTTTCCTGTGGAGAAGTCTCCATGGCATGGCAAGAGAGAGACTCCTCTCTCTAAGTGGACTGAAGAAAGATTATTTTAGAGGTGGTAAACTGACTGAAAATACCAGGTTTTGTCTCTATATTGCCATTGGGAAAGGAAAGAGGAGTTTGGGGGAAGAGAAAGTGTTCTGAAAGCTTTATTCTGATTCTCATTATTCTTTCTTTTAGTTCTGTTAATAAACTTTTCTTTTACCCTTTAAAGTTTTGAGCCTGCTTTGTCCTCCTCCTAATATATATTTCACAGCAGAAATAATAATATTATATAGTAATATAATAATAAATAATATAAAATAATAATAGTAAATAATTCTAGTGGGTGCCATGGGCATTTGGTCAGCACCAAACCCACTACATTAATTGGTGCACTGGCTGGGAAACTCAAATTGGCAAACCAAAACCACTACAATACCTCTGCACAGTTATTTATCACTTGGTTCTTACTGATTTCTATTCAAAGTAAGCTTAAATAAATGCTGGTATTTATTTTGCTATTGTAAGACATTTTCAAGCCTTGCATTACTTGTTGCCACTTCCTTTTATACTAAATGCTCTGGTGCTGAGGTGCCTTTTGCACCTGAGAAAGCAGCCACCTTCTCAGTTACGTCATCACTCCTCAGAGATTGAATTGTTTACTGCTACAACTCTAAATATCCCAGCAATTATAGATACTATCTTATATTGAAAGTGTATCTTTCTTTCTGGCTTTATCAAATTTGTTAAGCAATTCAAACACTGTAACTGCACCAATAATTATTTCATCATTAAGTTTTATCAAGCAACGCATATAGAGATCAAACAGTATTAGGGCTCTATTTCTTTTAAGATCTATTAATTTAATATTAACTGCATTGCTTATATTTAGAGCTAAAACACAGGTTTATCATAATGAAGTGTTTCACGCAATAGTACTATGTCAATACTAGGAAGTTATCAAAAGCCTCTTTTTTTGGGACTAACACTGTTTTCCACAAAACTACATTAATCATTTTACCATTTTTTTTTAACTCTCCCACTACTATCCACAATCCCTGCCATTCTTTGTGGGACTTTACAACCTTGCTTGAAGATGGCAAATCTGTGGTTCCCTCCTTTTTCAAGTGATACATTTTAATAGTTATCTGCAAATTTCACTAGGGCTTTGTATTTGACTTTTTTTTAAATTCCTAGTTAAAAACTACAGATAGTGTTAATTCATAGACCTCCTTAGCACTTAAAATTATCTTGCCCTGAAGATTTGAAGTAATTGAGTTTATCACAGGTGAACATTCAGTGTATTTTTGAAAACCTTTGCCTGAGGAGTATCAGTTTTACCAACCCCATTTTCTTGTTCTTTAATCATCACATTAGGACAAGCAGTCAAAGAATTCCATATCAGTACCTTCTGGACTCTTTAGCTCCTAGATAAAGTGTCATATATTAATCAGGTATCTTGCATTTTTAGCATACAGCTTGCCTACCTTACCTTAGGTAGCTTGTCATGCAGATGATGGTCTCTGCTTCTCCTAAAGAGAGGAAGAGGTACAACTTTCTCTTCCAGTACATTGCAGGTGTGTTTGTGTATGCTCCAAAATGCTTTTCACTTATGTAGCTGAAATTTTATTGTAATTAGTCCCATTCACTTTTTTTCTGTACACAGACTAACAAGGGCATCCAAGAAGTCACACTAGTACTCACCTTCCCAAACAGGTCTCGTCCAAAGTTTCTGATGCTTTCACTTTGTTCCCACTGAATCCTATCACTACTCCCTGATCCCACCTAGGACTTCCCTAATTTCCTTCAGCTTTCAATTATATCTCTCACTTATTCCTTACAGAAGAGAAGGCACATTTTAACCTTTGACCTTTTGATAGGCTTTTAAAATAATCCCAGAAATGCTAAATATGTTATCAAGACCAATTACAGCTATCACTCAACTGCCAGGCAAAGATGGTTTTAACCAAACCATAACATCTTTCACATTTGGGAACTCTACCACACTACAGTCTTAGAATATAAAATAAATCCTTCAACTAAGCCAATGAGTTTCTAGTCTCAAAACAGAACTTCACACTATATGTGGATGCTAAATGCAAAAAGCAAGCATGAACAGAGAGCCTGTGTGAAACTAAGTCACACAAACTTCTCACTCTGGCCTGAGAAAGCATAAGGAGGAATCCAAACAGTCCTTGGTAAAGGACAACAATCTCTGCAGGTGTTGTTTAGGATCCTTGTTGTTTACTTGCAAGAAACAGTCAAGGGGTGGTGTTCCAATTAACCAACGATAGTGATGTGTAAGTTTAATGACCAGTGAGTTTTACCTCTCGGCCCTTCTTGACCTGTCTATACATGAAGATCAAAGATAATAAATCTTGCTTTCTTGGACGATGCAGCTAAGATAGTCAGTGTCATGCTTCTCACTGTTCCTAATATAGTGCGACAACTATACATTTAGTTATCTTTAAAACTTACTGAACTTTCCTAATTAACACATGAAGACCTATGAGAAACTTTTCTTACTCTATTTTCAAGGTGGCAATGAAAATAAGCCAAAAGGATTCCCACTGTTAAAATTTCCTCAGCAGAACAATGCAAATTAAAAGAGCCTATGGCTCTCATGAACAAATTAACTATAAGTCTTGTCAATGTATCCAAGTTCAGACCTGTAATTTTAAACACGCATTTTGCATAGCTTGGTCACTTTTTACCATGGGTAACCACAGCCCAGCTACACATCAGAAGGACGTTTAGGCTGTACTACTGCAAAGCATGCTCTAGGGACCTGCAACAGTGCTGCAATATCAGCAGAATATTGCACCTAAAGTAACAAGCTGCTTTTTCTGAGACACAGACTAGTATTTATCGAAGATAATGGCATAATATGCAAACATATTCTGACTGGATATTACAATTTTTTTTTCCCCATGAGGACAAGTAAGCAGAGGTACAGGCTGCCTAGTCTTGATCCTTGGGGTTTTCCAAGACAGTCCAGATAAAATCTCTCAGCAACCTGGACCAGCCTCAAGGCTGCCCTTGCTGCAAGCAGCAGGTCAGGAGAGACCTCCTGGGGTCCCTTCCCACCTAAATAATTTGATTTGGTTTGCACAGTGCAAATGTGTCAACTTTTCTACCCCTGCACCATGGTCTTTTGCATATTGTATATGTGTCATTAAGTTAGAGGCATCATTGCTCCATTTGCTGCAGAACTAAGTAAGAGGTCAGGATCTTTTATATTACTAACTTGTTTTTAGATTTTGAAAACTGTCATGCCTTTTCCATGTAACTCTCACGTAACTCAGAGTTCTGGATTCTCAGAAAAAAGGAAGACAAGGGAAGAAAAGAATTCTTATTCCCTTTCTTTTTTCTCAGAAAGGGAATAAGACAGGCATTCTCACTCCGAAATCCAAAGCTCCTACATCCAGTATCAACACATGGGCTTTTCATAGGGCCAAATATCAATTCCATCCAGGGCCACAAAAAGTGGAGGATTTTTTCAAACATTCCTTCTTCCATCCGTAACCATGAGCTGCTTAAGACCTCCCCCATTCTGCTACATTGGTATCAACCTGACATAAGAAAACAGCCAGCTAAAACTGCTCCATGAACAGCATGCAGGAATTTTTACACAACTTTAAATTTTTCCTTTATTGGGTGTGCAAACTGTACTTCCCTCCCTTTACCTGAGATATTAAGCACCCTGTGCTGGAATGGATGCCGAATGTGAAATTCAGCAGTTAATCCAGCCGCAATGCTACACTCCTGCCTCGAGATATTTTGCTGCTACAATGAGCTCGACTAAAACCTTCAAGAAGACCCTATATTCCAATTAAAAAAACAGACGCCTGGGTCAAACGGCCACACGATATTCTGTCAGCATCCAACACGAATCCGCTTTTTGGGATACCTCGACGTGACAACGAGGGCCGCACGACGAGAACGTTGACCCGCGAGGCCGCGCTCCTCTTGCCCAGTCTCTGTTAAGGGGCCGAGCTCCCAAACCCTCCCCTGCGGCGACTTCACCCAACTCCCCCCCATCCCACCTCGTCCGTGAGGCGCTGGCGAGCCGGGGGCAAAAACACCCACCGGGGACTGAGGCGAGCGGGGCGGAGGAGGGCAGCCACCGCCCCCTCCCGTCGCTACACGGGATCCACACGCACCTCCTGCCGGAACCGCAGGGCTGGGCGGCCGCTGCTTCTCCCGGCCTGGTTACCGAGCACCGCGACGCCGCTCCTCCCACGGCGGGCGTTTACTGGCGGTCCCGGCGCTGCCCGGCCCGCGGCGGGCGGTTACCGGCGACGGGAGCCGGAACCGGGCCCGGCCGCTCGTCCCGGCGCATCACCGGCCGCGCACGCGCACAACCCCCGCCGGTACAGGGGATGCGGGAGCGGGAGCAGGTGCAGCCGCTCGTGCCGCGCTGCGCCGGCCAATCACGGCGTCGATGGTGCGTCGAGCTGCTCCAATCGGAGGTGCCCCACGTGAGGCGAGAGCCAATGCGTGGCTCGACTAGTGGCTGCGGCCCGCCCTACGCGGGGTGCGTCAGCCAATCGCCCGCCGCCGCTGGCCGGCCCTGCATGGCGGCAGTCGGCGCCGTCGGCGGGGGCTTTGCTGGTATGTCCGCGGTCCGCGGGACGGGGCGTCTCCTATCGTGCTGCCCCACACGCCTGCGGCCAGGGAGCGGCCAGGAAAAAGAATTTCCCAACCTGTAACCTCGAATTAACGAAATCCTTAGTTACGGCTGGACGCTTACCCTGATCCTTGAGTATACGTGCGCGAAGCAGAGCGAAATAAAAAACATTTTAAATAAAATACTAAAGCCAAGTTCATATCTGCCTTTTGTACTGAAGACAAATGTTGCCATGCCCCTTTCAAAAGTCCCTAAAAAGATTAAGACGAGAATGGAAACATACCATTCAGACATGAATAATTGTGTTCCAGTGAAAATCAAAACTGTTTGAATAAAACATAATTAATATTGAACTGTTGAAAATCGTATGTTTCTTAATTAATTTTAATTTGTTGTTTTAATTAATTGTAAGCAATGCCTGCTTTTAGCCAGCACTAGTTTTCTTCACAGACTCTTACTGTGATCCTTAAATCAGTGAAGCTTTTAAGTTTGCTAAAACTAATCTGACAAGCTTCAACAAGTAGAGCCAAAAGGAACTAAATACTGGACAACCGGGATCTTAAATTTGTGGCCCTCCAAGGTTATTGAAGTAACCAGAAGACAGAGAGGGGATTAACGCCTCTGGGCACCACTGGGGACTTCCCATCTGAGAAAAAGATGATAAAAGGACTAAAGAATGTGGACCAAATGAGCATGAAAAGCACAAAATCAATAACCAATAGAGGATAGAATACTAATTAATGAAGAGAATCATATCACTTTGAACCAATGAGCATTAATTCCCTTCTTTGCTAAAAATGTATAAAAAAGTGGAAAAGTTTTATATCTGTACCAGCACAGAGGCTGAAACTGTCAGCCACATACATACACCTCTTGGCCAAGAATAAAGTAATGCCTTACTTCCTAACAATAAAAAATAAGTGTTGAGGGAGTCTTATTTTTCCTGATGTTTTTGGAGGATTTTGGCAACAGAACTAGCTTGAAAATTGTGCTTTCTTACCACACAGATGTTTAACATGATTAAGTACATGTACAATGAGCGTGAGGTAGACCTTGTTTTTGAGACTTATGCTTTAAACCACATGAAATTACCAAAGTAAAATTTCCCACTCAGTGAGCCTGGTGACCTGGCTGTACTCTGAAACTCTTCTCAGGGTTTTTTACGGTTTATCACCTTTGGTTTTGTAAATTACAATCACAATGCCGAGACTTCAAAACCAGCCACTCGTAAAGTTAGTGCAAGTTCCTTATTTCCTAGACCTGAACTGAAGCCTTCCTATGAGAAGACTTCTATTCAGCCTTTGATCTGGCCTCTTAGCCATGGTGTGTGAAGGTTCAGTGCATAGGATTTTAACATGGAAAACTACAGGTTTTAAACCTTGCTTAGGGTGGAAAGGAAGCTGCAGGTGTTATGAGTAACCATGCCTTGTGAACAAACCCAGCTAATTCACCTGCCAGTGATTGTTGTTGCCAATACCACACATAAGTGTTATTGCTGAAGTATTCTTCCACTGCACTCCCTTGCTGTAAACTTCCTGGGGCAGGAATAGTCGCTTTTCCGTTATTGCTTCTTCAGTGAAAATCCAGAATTCTTCTTAGGAGGCTCCTTTGGTTTTATAGTGGAGCTGTGGTTCTGCAGACTGTGTAAGAAACCTCAGCTCTTGCAAAAGCACCGGGAAGAATTAATGGTTCTTGTGAAACATTATTTTTTTACAATATCTACTGAAACTTCATTTACATTAGAGTGATGGGAAGGGTATTCTGTCATTGCAACGGTTATGTAAAATATGCAAAACCAGAAACAAGGAATGAAGCACCAACCTGGCAGTATAGAATAAAAAATTGCATTTAAAAATTTATTTTTTTAAGTCCAGTCATTTCCTAATACAATTTCAAATATTCTGATGAGCTTTCTGAAAGCACACTTCAACAACTAGAGAGAAATCTCATTTCACTGTGAAAAAAAGGTGTTTTGGTAGCAAAATCTATTATTTTAGTATATTCTATGTTTCCACTGATTTACATAACTGCTCTGGAATTTCCTCCTTAGTGACACCACCCTGTAACAAGTGACTGTAAGGCATCCTGAGTACAGCCACTACTCCCAACAGTGAATCTGTTGCAGTGAAAGCAATGACAAAATAAGGTTTTATGTTTGCACTGTAAGTGCTGAGGGACAAAGGTGTCCCCCAGTATACTTCTAAGCATGCTGGATTACTGCACTAATTCTTAACTGGCATTAAACTCCTAACCTAATGAAGGCTGCAATATTTAGTCCAATATATGTATTTACATGCACATGTCTATAGCACCACAGTATATAAACAATGCTGTACCTAAAAATCTAAATAAAGTAAAATAAATAAACAATAAATCTCTAAGCAATATCATCAAAATACTACTAGAGGTCTTTGAAAGAAACACTCTTCTGAACTATTTTAATGTAAAAAAATTTATTCTATCGCATTCTAAATGAAAAACACTGTTGCACTAGGAATACAACTACATTAATGTAACCCATTCAATACAAATCCACATATTGCAGTTTATTTCCTGCTGTCAGGATGCAATGCCTGTGCAGGGCAATGAGGGTGCAGTCATACTTCATGTGCTAAGGAAGTGATACCAGAGTTCTGCCCATTAACAGGTAGATGTCCAAGGTGGATTGTAATTTCCCAAAAACTTTTCAAATGAGACCACTGTGGTTTACTTTTTATTTTCAAATTTACGTTGAATTTGAACTTGTGACAAGGACTGATGTATCAGTACAGACTTATTATCTAATTCTAGGATCCAAAATGTTACTTAAATAGATTTTCTTTCTACAAAAATAGAGTTACACATAATACCCTTATTTTCTGTAATTATTTCAATGCACAATTCACAAATAAAATAAAATTCTCTGATAAAATAAAATTCACTGACTAAATACCTGTTTAAGTTTCAAGTTATTTGAATGGTAATTTGTAGGCACTTCTCATTTAAAAAATATTTAACATAACTTATGCTACATTAAGGTTGAAACACATTTATATTAAGTTTGAGATTTTTCATAACGTTAAGTTGTTCCTGTGAACTGCTTTAAATATTTACAATGAATATTGACAACTTTTCCTTCAGTTCTAATTCCCCTACAAAAATGACTAGTGTTTTTAACGGAGTTGAACGCTGTGTCCTTAATATTTTTTTAAAATGTCTGTATTTTTATTTCTGGTCAAACGTTTTATACCTTTATACTTCAGTCCCTGAGGCAGGCTATAATGCCTTATCAATTGTTTATAATATCTATTTAATGTTGCAAAACTAAGGTGAGATTTTTATATATAACATATTACTCAAGAACATTTTATAGAAATTACTAACATTCTTTTCATATACCTTATCATATAAAGACCTAAGATTTATCTAAATTCTTTCCTAATACAGAGTATTAACAGTTAAATGGGTATGGAACTGATCTTTTGACCCAGTCCTTTTTTTTTGTTGCAGACAGCTTTGTTTTCAAGCAATACATAACAAGTGACACATCAAAAATGTATCTTTTTCAGTTTTCAGATGTCTTGATAAATACCTGGAAAAAAGAAAAATCTGTTATTTTCTAAAATCTGCAGGAGCTTTGCCTACGGCATTAGTTTTTCTCTTCTTCCAGCTTTGGCTAGTGTTTAAGGCTATAGTAATTATCTTCAGTGACTTCTGCTGAGTATTTTCTATTTATGGACTTACTGACATTTAAACACTTGGGAAAAACTTGGAAGAATTAAAAAATCAGAGGCTCGTCTGAAAATGTTGGCACAATGTAATTAATATCCAAGATGGTGACTGAAAAAAACAGAAACCAAAACCCTAGTCCTAGCAACTACAGTTACAGCACTGCAAAACTGGAGAATCACCCCATTTCAGTATTTCCAGCACTTCCAATGAAGTACATTTAACTTCTCTCCTGAAAATAATGAATATAATTCTTCACTTGTGTTTTCCACAGAATTCTATTTAAAATTAAATAAGATTAATTATTAGCAATACTATAGGATTGAAAGAACCAAAATTAATTTAATAATGAATAATAAAAATGCTTTTATTGACATGCTTACCTCACTCAGTATTGCCCAGAATGGAGAATCAGAACTGACTGATAAACGAATAGCCTGTATTCTTCCAATTGACTTATTGATGTTTCCTTCTGCAATGCCATTTTCAAAGGCCCCTTAATAAAAAAACCCACAAGACCCATATGAATATTTATTAGCATGAAATACATTTCCAAGCAAACCTGGGAAAAATCTCAAAATTACAAACTATAAATTAAATCCAGGAATACATTAGGGAAAAAATGGTTTGGTAAAGACTCATGAGTTGAAATAAGAACAAGGAGAGATCAATCAGTCACAAATTACTCTCATAGGCAAACCAGACTTGACTTGGGAAAAAAAACTAAATTATTTATTCATTTCAGAATAGGGTAATGAGAAATAAAAGAAGAACACCTTCCCCCAACCCTCCCTTCTTCTTGGGCTAAACTTTATTCTTGATTTTCTCTGCCTCTTACCCCTAGGTGTAAAGGGGGACAGGGAATGGGGGTCATGGTCATTTAATCATGTTGTCTCTGTTGCTCCTTCCTCCTCAGGGGAATCACAATGGCATCTTCCCCCTCCTTCTTCACTGACCTTGGTGTCTGGAGAGTTTTTTATCTCATGTATTCTCCCTCCTCCCTCCAGCTGCAGTTGCTGTTACACAGAGCTTTTCTGTTCCCTTTTTGAAATATGTTATCCCACAATGCACTACACCATTGCTAATGGGTTCAGCCTTGGCCAGTTGTAGGTCTGTCCTGGAGCTGGCTGCCACTGGCTCCACTGGACATAAAGAAAGCTTCTGGAAGCTTTTCACTGAAGCCACCAACCCCTGTAGTTTCCCCCCACCCTCCCGCCCCAACTACAAAAACCTTGCCATGTGAATCCTTTAAAGGGACTATAATTAGTTCTCCTTCTAATTAGATGTCTTGGCTTTTGCCACTGGTCAAACTTAAACCAAAATAGGAGAGTAATTGTTGAACACTGTACACTACAATATGCAGTAATGCAAAGGGTTTCTTTTCCTTACTAGCTCACCTTGGAATGCTGAATTTATCACAGAGTTAATGAATTCCTTAAGAGCAGAAACATTTTATATGTAGGAACAACAGTTCTGGTTTTGAAGTGACAATAATCAATTTACCTATTTTTAAATATCCAGCTTTGGTTGCTGGGTAGTTAAATTTATTTCCATTGTAATGCAATTCTTTTCTTAGTGTTTCCTGAAAAAAATAATAACATTTAAAGAAGTATTTTCTAGGGTATGATATTTTATGCTGAATATCATTCTGAAAATGAAATATGGTTCTAAATGAGAGACTTACATCAGCTGGCAACACTTCCACAGTAGTGTTAAACAGTTTATCACCAGGGTGCTCCAGGTTTCCACTTCTGAACAAGTACCTGATGATAAAGGTGTATTATTTTATACTTTAAAAGAGTTCTAGGGAAGTAATTCTTTCCAGTTTTGAAGGAAATTTTCAGATAGCTTTTCTTTATCTATTTTTGGGCTATAGAGAACAGAAATAGGCCTCGAAACTATAAACCAAACCATAATATAGTAATTTTATTTTAAACAGAAGAAATATTTAAACCATCTTTCTCTGGGACCACAAATGCAAGTGTTGCCCGTTTTTAGTGCTCAAGTTTCAAATAAATTAACTTCCCATGTTTAAATGGCTAAGGAAGGTCTGCCCTCTGATCTATTCCTATAATTGTAAGACTGAAGTGGAATGGGCTTCTGGAAGGTGAGTGGCAGCAAAAATGCTGGCACAAAAGTGCCAAGAGAATTCCCCATTTTTATCAATACTGGTCAACTCAGCTGTTTCTAAACAATTTCCTTAGCCAATAAAGGAAAAGCATTGACCAAACAGGAATCCAAGCAAAAACATCTAAGAATAAAAATCCCTGTTTGGTTTTTAATGTCTGGTATTAAGAGTTCTTGTGGTTTTAGATCCAAAAAGAACTAAGAGAATTTAAATCATCCAACTCTCTCCTCTGATATCAAATATTTAAGGCTTAAAAGCACCAAATATTATAGATTAACCATACTATCAATGTAATGGGGCTGGGACCAGCCATTAGACAATACCATATGTAAGTTATCTTCATCCAATGCAGCTTTGCAGTATCAGGAACATGCAAAACTACAGCCTACCCAAGTTTCAGAAAGCATTAACCAGTTAATTAACAGAACACCAGTGTTTATTCACTGCAGCTCACTAGGTGGAGATACAGACTTGACATCATGCAAACAGCCTTTCTGTTGTCAACTATGTAAATAAAGCTTTCACCATTGATGAAATGCATCACTTAGAAACAAATTCCTTTGAGAATTATCATGAGAGAGTGTAAAATATTTACCTGAAGAAATAAAAGGGAAAAAAAAAATTAAGAAGCTCTTTAATTACCAATGAAGAAATGTATTTCAGGAAAGGAGTTCAAGAAGAAGAGCGGATAAATAGCAAATCATGGATTTTTTTGTCAGTAACAAGGTTTATGCAAACAGTTAAGCACTATTTTGAACAGACTCAAGCATTTCCAAACTGGATATATGTAGGCTTCTATGTTCCATATCATGTAATACTTACTTTTCAACTTCTAGTGGATTTATAAATGTGAACCTGATGTAGTCACCTGCCACTGGAGCTGAAGCCCAAAAACAGTCTTCTCCTTTATAAACTTTTTCCAAAGTATATTGCTGGTATATTCTTAGGCTTGTATCCAGTTTTGCAGGTGGATTATTATGTGCTTTATACAATAGATTTTTTCCAAAATCTTTATCCTGTTGATATAAAGAAATGTAATTTCACTCATACAATGGAAAAAAGTGCACTGATACCTGTAATTACTATAGAAAAATATTTCTAGAAAATAATTACCTCAATGTAAAAAAATATCCAATCTATTTTTAATAGATATACAATATTAATTTCAGTGTAGTCACTAGGACTTAATGTTACACTTTTTAGGCAGAGCTGTACTGATTGTTTCTTAGCTACCAAGATTTAAAAATAAAAATCTTTACACCAGGCTGTTTCATAGTTGTCTAGGATGCCTTCTGCCAGAACGTGTGACTGCTGGGCTCTGCTAAAGGCTATGTGAATCTCTAGTCTGATCCAATTAAGAAATCTTGTCACTAGTCTAGATGGCACCATCAGGAAATTCCTGAAGTCTGGTTCATCATTGCTCATGCCCTTATCAGATATGAGGCTTGCCCTACAAACTCTCCCTAAAAATCTGTGGCCATCATATTAGTCATACCTTTGTCCTATGAATATACCTTCTTGATCATCCCTCATATTGGGAATGTGAAGTGCTCAGCCAAAACAAACCATCATGGCTTCGTTTGCATGGAACAGAGCATCTGAAACTTTGTGCTTGTGAAGAAGGTTCCTACATGCCATGAAATGGTACTGTTCACATGGCGATGTTCAAAGGTGTTTGTGTAGGAGCAGTGCTCCACCTGCAGCTAAGATGCCAGATCAAAACTCTCTACCAAATCTGTAAAAAAACATAATTTGATATGGAAATGCCATCTAATGCCAAAGATGTGGTTCTTGAAACTCATTTGAGAAATGTCAGAATACAAGCATATAATGTAAAAACATGGCATTAATTTCTTATTACTTTCAAAATCTGTATCTTCCCAGCCAATGATGAATAAATTCCCATATGCTGAAAGAGAGATGGCTTAGCGCGGATACGTAACTTTGACTTTTCCTTTTCACAGTGTGTCTGGAAAGAAAGTAAAAGGGAGAGAAGGATTATTTAAACAAGGAGAGACAAACTATGGTACATAAAGCAATTTTATTATGTAATTAAGGGTATGGGTCCAGATTTTTTGTCCATATTTAAATGACATAATTTATATCCTTAAATTAACAGTCACCTTATGTCACATACACTGTTTCTAGACCAAAACTCCTAATTCCTCTCATGCTGTTATTTAGATTTGAAGGCTCAAACACCACTAATTCAGGGGTTTCTGCATAGTATGTGACGAATCACATGTCAGGGTGACAAAAATGGACTCAAATTTGAAACTGATTGATTTCTTAGCTGCTTTTGGCAAACTTTATTTCAACTCTTAGCCTTGCCGTATCATTCTAATTAAACTATTTTGACCAAAACTGACCTTCTTAAGATAGGTGCTGGTTACATTTCAATCTTCACAATTTTGCTTCTTTGTTGTGTTTGGGAGGCTTTTAATGTATCATAAGTTATGGATCTTTAATCACATAATTAGATAAAGCCCTTAAATACTGCCGCGGCGACGGAAAGCCCGGAGCACCCCGACTTCTCTGGAGAAGCAGCCCTGAGAAGGGCTGGGCCGAAGCGTGTGTGCGGCTTCGGGCAGGCGAGTGATTCCAGCTCAGCTCAGATCGGCGGCGGCGGGCAGGCGACACGGGAAGAAGGGACGAGAAAGCTGGTCTAGCGTTCTGCCAAGCACAAACCTTTATTCAGGCAGAGCTTGGGCGAAGGGTGCCAGCAACAGCTAATCTGCCGAACAGGGGAAAACCCGGGATATTTACAGGAGAGGAGAGGGGCGGGGGGAGCCCGAGTTACATGTATCGGGCTGGGACAGCAGGGGGGAACACCAATGGGGCACAACAGTTTAACATATCTAACTCAAAGAGCGATACATTGTCTCTCTCTGAGTGAAAGGTGTCTTGCCTCCAGGGGAGAGCCAGGATCTCGGGCTCGGCGGGCTCCTCCGCACCCACAAATACTGTGTTTCAACCACAATTTTCCAGTTTACTATGCCTGGGACATGACATGTATCAAGAAATTAAATAACTGTAATTGGTATTAATTTTGGAGTTTCTTGATCTTTGAATGATAGAAAACCACTTCTTTAAATATAATTTTTTTTCTTTGTATATATAGAGCATTGTAGTTTGATACAATGACACAAACATGCCACAGTAATTAATACAACAATGAAGCATAATAGCAAGGAACAAAGCAAAGAGCTAAAATGAGTCTCCCTGGGTTGTACTCATGGTGCTGCCACAGAATTATTATATGAGTTTGGAAGAGCATTTAATTTTTCTATATCCCAGGTCTCATACCTTAAAATTTGAGAGGATAATGTGCTTACCTCTTCCATCAAGTGCTTTCAGCTCTATAAAGGAAAAATGTTACATTAACTATATCAATGACTTCTAAAGCCAGAATTGATTAAGTCTTCACTCAGCTGGCTTAAAACCATCAAAGCTCATGAAGGATTTATGGTTTCCACAGGAGTACTAATTAAAAGTTCAAAATACCCTGGGAAAGCTATGAAAAAAGCCAAGTATTTTTATTTTTGTCCACAACAGATGTTCAGCAAAATAATGTAAAACCACAATACAATTTGTGCAAATTGATTTACTGGCAGCTGTTTCTCTGAAAGGCACACTATACTTCAGTAAAGGAGAAATCATTTTAAGAAAAGAAATTTGTGATCTTTCTACTGATAGGGTTTGTAGTTCATCCCCTGCAATAATGCAGGCTCTAAAATGTCTTGTTTTATGCTGTGGCAGTATTACCAAAAGAGCTGCTTCTAGCAGCAGCTGAGAATGATTGGTGGCATGAGGTGGTGTGGTCATTTCTGCAGAAGCTGATATAAGGCTGCTTGTTGAGTCAGGGCTTCCACCCTTGCAGCCTGTAACTCCCACTGCACATGATAGACACAGACCACTGCATATGATTACAAAAACACAGATTACAACCCACAGGTTGGGTTCAAAGTGACCAGTAAAGATGTTGTTCTGACTCCCCTGCCATGGATAGGCTTCCACTAAACCAGGTTGCTCAGAGCCCCTTGTTAGAAACACTGGAGTTGGCATCTACACCTTTCCTGGGCAACCTGTGCCAGTGACTCACCAGCCAAACCATAAAAAATGTTTTCCTTATATCCAATCTAAACATACCCTCTTTCAGTTTAGGACTGTTGCCCTTTCTCTTGTCACAACACATAAAAAGACTTTCTCTCTCTTTCATACAAGCCCCCTTTAGGTACTGGAATGTGCTATATGGTCTCACCTGAAGCCTTCTCTTCTTCAATCTGAAGAGCTCTGATTCTTTCAGCCTGTCTTCAGCACTCTGACCATTTCTGTGTCTTCTCCACCTGCTCTAACAGATCCATGACTTTTTTTTTGTACTGGGGACCCCAGCAGTGAATGATGGTTCACAGGAGGCAAACATGACAAAGTTTCTGAACCATCCAGAGACCTGATGGCTCTGATCATCACAAACTGTCTTTTCCAACTTGGTGAGCAGATGTAGCTGAACCTTGATTTGTTAATAGTCCAGGCTGAAAACTTGGACAAGCTTGAGAAATGGGTCCATGGGAATATCATGAGTTTTAACAAGACAAAGTGCAAGGTATTGAACCTGGGTCAGAGCAACCTCCAATATCAATCCAGGCTGGGGAATAGTAGATAGAGAGTAGCCCTGCCCAGAAGGACTTGGGGTTGTTGGTGGTTGAGAGGCTGGACATGACCCAGCCATGTTCACTCAGCCCATAAAGCCAAACATGTCCTGGGCTGCATCCAAAGCACTGTGGGCAGCAGGGGAGGGAGGGGATTCTGCCCCTCTGCTCTGGTGAGAGCCCACCTGCAGTGCTGCACCCAGCTCTGGGGTCCCAGCACAGGAAGATCATGGACCTGTCTTGCTGAATCTAGAGCAGGCCAAGGTGATCAGAGGGCTGGAGCACCTCTTCTATGAGGAAAGGCTGAGAGAATTGAGATTTTTCAGCCTGAAGAAAAGAAGGCTTTGGGAATTGCAGCCTTCTGGTACCTGAAGGGATCCTGCAAGGAACAGAGAGAGGCTTTTTGCAAGAGCCTGAAGCAACAGGACAGGAAGGAATGGATTCCAGCTAAAAGAGAGTAGGTTTGGATTAGCTGTTAGGAGAAGTTCTTTCCTGTGAGGATGTTGAGGCACAGAGACAGGTTGTCCAGGGAAGCTGTGGATGCCTCACCCCTGGAGATGTTCAAGGCCAGGTTGGATGGGGCTCTGAGCAATCTGGTCTATTGGAAGGTGTCCCTACTCAGACCAGGGGGTCAGAATGGAATGATCTTTAAGGTCTTTTCCAACCAAAACCATTCTGTGATTCTACGTAAATACATGCCAAAAATCTATCACCACATGATGGCACATAGAAACTACAAACAAGTGCCCTGCTGACTCTCCTGTGTAGCACAGTGTGTGATCACTTTGCGACAGTCTTAGTTGGTTGGAAAGGGGAAAGTGTGAGGAGTTATCAGCTTGCCTTCTCTGGTGCCTATAGGAAAGTTCACTGCTTTAACCTGTCAAACAGAGAAGGCACCACAGCGGGGATACCCAGCCTTCTCCCAGTCTCTATTTTCTGCATTCTCATGAATAGTCCCAGCACGTCATGCCACTTGTCATTCCCACCCAAGAGCCATGTCAGACTGATTTGTCTCAGTAGGTTTTTGCTACCCACAGCAATTGAAATTGCAAATGCAGAAGACAAACTCAGTAGAAACTTGTGGACACCACTCTGCTTTGGCTTGGTCAGAGCAGACTTCCATGAGCTGCCTGCCTGCCTTTTGGGAACACAGCTTCATTTTAGGTAGGAATCAGGTCTTAGAAGATGGAACAGTCATAAATAAAAGTACAGTATTTCATCTATTGGATGGAAGTTGGCACATGTTAGATCTGGAATGGGTGATGTCAACATAATAGTATCTGGTTTTTCATCTGTTTTCACAGGCAGGAAAGAAATTTAATTCGTTTCTTGTGGCTTGCTCTAAGTCCTATGAGCTGGCTTAACCCACAGAGCAGGAATTAAAGGCTTCCTCCTATCTATATGAAGTGGGTCTGGAGACTGCAGTGCACTACTAAGTCTAAAACCAGGGACCTTCTGCTATCCCCAGGAGTTATTTATGCTACAGGGTAAAACTTGCTTGCTCTCCTTCTCGTAATCTCCTGTTCTATACAGCTCCTGTCTGCTTCTTCTTGCTCCTTTATCAGCACAAAATTAACACATGCAAATTCTGGAGCAGGAACTGGCTGCACCAGTTAAAACTCCTGAGCCCTAAAACCCAAAGAGCAGAAACACTGGTCAGCCCAAAGTAAGTCCAGTTTGAGAGATTTATATTCCACTTTTTGAAAATAAATTTTGTCACTGAGAGTGTTTGAATGTTATGTTCATAAACTCACAGTTATACTTACTGCATCCTTTTCTGGATTGCACACTTTAACCCACAGCAGGTGGTCTATAAGCCAGTCTATGGGCTTATCCTTATAGAACATGAGAAAAAAATCCACTATGAGTGGTAAGTCTTCTGATTTAAACAATTTTCCTGAAAGCAAGACAAGAAGTTATACTTTTATTGCTATGCAAGAATCACCAGCTTTATGTTTCAATGTAATTTCTTTAAATAAACATTTAAGTATCACACCAGCCTGGCACATATGAATGTAATTATGATTTCATGAAAAATTTCACATAGAACCTGGCTTGGAAGAGTTGCTGATCATCCAGCCCTATGATATGGGATGCACATTCTCCTCCATAAAGAAAAGGAGAAAGCTGTTTTGTTTTTTTTTAATAGATTGTTCCGATTGCATTCCTGAAAAGAGAGCTACATATTTCAGAGGCACATAGTTCTCTGACATGGAAAAAATTCCTCCTTTTGGGAGCTCAATTATAGATTCTATGCTGAAGGGACTCTGTATTAAAAAGACATTTTTAAAGAGAATAAAAAGTAAAGTACATTGAGTGGGATGTTTCCTGAAGAACCAAGGAAGTTTTGATATGCAAGTCCTTCCATGCTTTGTCTCTGAATGAGACCTTTTTGATCTACACAGCTCCAAAACCAGTTGATTCTCCTGTGGTTTTAATACTTACCAATAAATCCAAGTTGTGAGAACTCAAGAACCATCCAGTCTTGGGACTGTTGAGCAGCAAAGCTTTTTATACTTTCAATATAATCAGGTTTGGCTATAATATCATCTTCCAGCTGAAGGGAAAAAAATGCAACAGAAAAAGAGAAGGCAAGCAGTGATTTTATTGCTTGCAGAGGAGGTAGTGACATTTCCACAAGCAAATGAAAATTGTGTTGTGTTACATGCTGTACCGCATGTACTGAAGCTGTTTCAAACTACAGTGGATTGCTATTTAGCTATTTAGTTCTACATATATCTCTGGTTTAGTATCACTCATTAAGTAATTATCTACAGGAGTGACCATAACACCATGGGTGCATCTCCCTTTTTTGATGAAGGAGGACTCCCTGCCTTAAAGAGATCTCACTTAGAAGAAAATATTAAGGAAAAAGACAAGAGGTTAAGGAAGACAACGATAGGTAGTTTTTTCTAAGGTTGTATAAGCATTGATAAGCAACAGGAGCAAACTGTCTGAAAGGAAAGGTGTCTAAAAGCTCTGGTAGCCTGGGCAGACTTTGTCATTCATACAAGGTGACTGAGAAAGACTGTGGACGATAACTGCGATGCCAGTAGAAAGCAAGTTGTTCCAGGGAATACTGGTAATGAAGGGGTGTAGTCTGTGAATCACACTGAAGGACAGGAGTACATAGAGCTTTCAAGGTATGTAAAGACTGGCACACAGTACAGCAGTAGAGCCAGCTAAAAGGTATTTGGAAGAGACGACTGACACCCATCAAGGAAATGGGAAAGGCATCGGCTTCATTTTCGCCTAGCTTTCAGACAAGAACTGAGCATCTGAAAAGCCAGAAGCTGTTTCTACTACTAAAGCCAAGGATTATGAATCCAGACAAGGGGGCTGCAGTCAATGACACAAATGAATAAATGTATTCCAGAAATAATTAAGGACTGAGTATTTCATGGTTTGAATTCAGTATGGATGTGAAAACACAGGAAGAGGAGGCCAAGACTTCAGGAGAATATTGCTGGGGTGTAGTGTAATCATACAGTAATTTTTTCTAACTTCAATGGCCCTGCTGCATGTCTAGCTGTGCTGGAACTGTCTTCAGAAAGCTAAATACCTAGAAAATTAATCCTTTGAGAAAAAACCACAAACAAACAGAACATGATTTTTTGCTGGTTTTGTGTCTTCAACTGATGCAGCACAGAGTCATCATCAAGAGCTTGAGAGATCAGGCCCACAGGTTTTAGCTGAATTTGGGCATCACTACAAGTGTAGGGCTGGCTGACAAGAAATGTGTTGGCAACAGTGAACTCAGGAGTAAGAAAGATGAGATTAAGAGATCTGTTTAACTCTGTCAGCTTTTGCTGATGGTAAGATAACAAATGTCTCTATTTGTAAGATAACAAATAGAGACAAACTGATCAAGATGAATGCTTCTTAACAGAATCAGTGATCTGGGGATTGAGTTGAGTTGACAATTATGCAGATGAGAACAACAGAAAAAGACCCCAAACATCTATTTATAAGACATCTGGCATAAAATTTTGTTTAGAGGATTAGCCAGCAGCAAGATTTTAAGAGAGAAGAGCAAAGAATCAAAGAAGGTTTTAGAGAATGTGCAGAGAAATTGAGTGGCACCAAAAAAGGATGAAAAGCAGACTGGAGTATCTCAAAAACCTAGGGAGGCCACCATATCAAAAAACACCTTAGAAAAGTATGCAAAACCAGTGAAGATTAAAAGCACAGGGGCTGTGATACAAAGTGACTGTGAATGTAGTTATGAGCAGAAAGTAATTTTGAAGTCTGAGATGGTCTTTCCTGAAGCTGACAGAGATGATTAGAGGATGTGGTTTGATATCCCATGTAGTACAAGCCATTAAAGTTATTTATTTAACCCTGTGACTTGTGTTTAACTAAAGTACATCTTCTTAGAGAACATCTCCCATTGCTTAGAGATTCCAGTATCAGTCATTTTCAGTATGCTATACAACATTTTATTATCCTGGATGTTTAATACTTTGCACCCAAATTCTAATTTGATTTTTTTTCTGCCTTCAGCTTACAGCCACTTGTTCTCTCATATGCTTTTATCTGCCAAAGGAGGTTGCGCAGTGCCTGCACACAACTGGATCAGGAAGTTTAATATATGAACTGCCTACTCCACTTGCCCCATTGCCATGGGAAGGCCAGCAAAACACATAATCACAGCTAACTTCCTTTCACTCATCAGTGCTTTTGAATGAAAAAATATACATCCACTACAGCAAGACTATGAAAATTTCCTATGTGATAGGTAACAAATAGGTTTCTATTCATTTTTCTTATGCAGATTGTCTGTCTAAGAGAAGTAAAAATGAAATAGTAAAAAAAAAGTGGAAGAATACAATAAAAGTTTAGGCATCAGACAGGAAGGTTCTTCCTTTCTGAATTTTATTAGAGTATTTTTACATTTTGTCTCACTGACAATGAATATGTGGAAACTGGGGAGCTCCTTTTAGGAGGCCTACCAAATAGCAGGCCTAACCTAGAGTCTAATGAGGGGAAGAAAAAGATATCTATATAAAGAGTCCTAGTGAACTCACTGAGATATTGCTCAGGTTTAAAATCCATTAGAGAAGTGCTGCTGGCAATGTATATTACTAGTGTATATATATATATATATATATAATATATAAATACACAAAGCTTTCCCAGCCTCCATATGAGGTGATAAAAAAATCATAGCTGTAGTTCAAGTAACTACTACAAGTTAAGTTAGAACTTGATAAGAAATTTTAACTGAAGAAACTAAGATTTATTTAATGATTTCTTTTTCCTTCATCTCAGTTCTAATAGAAAACACTTAAAAATGCTGTATCTGTTTCTTTCAGATTTGAAATGTTTGATTCCTTCAGTGAACTAAGTCTACATGGACAGAAATAACAAATGCATGTTCTCACTATTAGGCTGGGATTGGATTGCCTGCTTTTATGGCTATGTTATGATCCCATTATTATATATCCCACCAAAGTTCTCTCAGTGAAAAAGGAAAAAAATACAGATGGTTTAAGTAGAAAAGTTGATCAGTAGGTAATCAGTGGGTAAGGTTCATCCCCAGTGTAAGCCTTTTAGCTTCAATGGACTTCACAAAACTACTTACTTAAATCCTGGTTCAGCAGTATCCTAGAACAACTGTTTATTCAGCAAAGATCTTATTTGACTCATGACATCAGCTGTTCTGTAGATGTCAAGACTAATTTTGTGTGCTTATCTTCTTTCAAGGTTTGGGACTTAGTATCAGCCACTCAATCAATACTATTCCTGACTAAACTAAATAAAAATCTAACCTAACTCAAGTTTTGTTTAAGATTACTGAAGTAAATCTTGTACTGGGCTAAAGAAAAGTACTTTTAAGTTGTTTGCTTTCCTTTAATACAGGACTTCTAAATAGAGGGCGGACATAACTACGTTTATGGCATCAACTGTTCATTCTTTTCACCTGCACTCTACAGAGTAGTTTTTGAGCAGACCAGCACCTGTGCTACAGAAGTAGCTGTAGGCTGGACATACAAACGAAGAATAGGATATAGTAGGGACAGTATGAGTAAAGTATAGTTTATTTTTGAGAAAATTCTGAAAGTAGACGTAACTCCCACCAGATCACCACCTTCCAGTCTTTGCTCATAATAACACGGTTCAGTCATTACATAATGTCTCAGATAAGAAAACACATGTTCTCAAATTCCTTTAGAAATACAAATACATAAGTAAGTCATTGTGGTGCAAATATGAATGCTTGGAGAACTTGGTAACAGGAAGGGACATCAAGTATCTGGCAGCATCTTAATGTTTCACTTCCCCAGGTTTTCTATGCCTTAATGCTCTAGTGCACTCAGTAAACTTGGATAATGTTCTTAAAAATATACAAAAGCCACAGGAAAATACTTCATTTTCCATTAAACCATAATTGTTCAAAATACAACATTTTTGTTTGTCTGCCTGCAGACTGAGCACCTATGCCACATTTGAGAACAGAGCATGGGAACTCTTAAGTATCCCAGCTCAAATGTGTTTGTGTTGAATCCTGAGAAAAACTTTAGGAGATGCCAGGTCCTGCAGTCTTCTGCTTCCAGGAATTCTGTGATGTCCTTATGGAATACATACTCTGAGGCAAAATGCTCTTCTGATGTTTTTAAAACTGCTGACATTGTTGAGCTACATAAAATTTTATAGACCTGTTCCATGATTGAATAGCTCTTAAAAATTTTTGAATCTCTGGGGGTGATTAAGATCTTTATGGAGTGCAAATTAGCTCAAATTTAGAATGATGGTTAAAGCTAAGCTTAAATGCATGGGGATCTTCTTGAAGGCTAACACAAAATCTTCTGGAGAATTAAGGACCTGTGCCAACTTGTGGTTGACCTTATCTCAAGTATCACTCTACCAGTGTTTCCCTTTTTGAAATATTTAATTTCATTGTCATCTGGGCTATAACCTGGACCTATCACCACTATTTTTCCTGGCTGCAGTAAGTAAAAATATATTTAACCCTGACTTTCTTTACTTAATCAAATAAGGGTTTCATGCTTCAGTTACTTTGCTCTTCAACCTCACGAATGACAGGAAGGTAGAAATGGTTTTAATCAAATAGTACCTGGCTGCAAGATGTATATAAATACAGAAATATGTGGATGCTTGTAAAGAGCACAGGCAAAATACACAGAAAATGATGATAGATGATGCTGATTTCATTGAGGCCTTTGAAACAAATTAAAATTGCCAAAGCTAATAATCAGTACAGAGGTATTGCTGCTACTTAATAATAATATGGACATACCTGTAAATAAAATGTTCCCTTAGGTTGAGCATATAGCATTAAAAAGCTATAATCCAAATTCTGTTTAGTTCTCCACCTAAACATAAGCAGCAAATTCTGATCAGATTTTTGAGGGGGTTGCAACAGTTATTTCTATAATAAGAGAACTTCTAATGCTCTGTATTTTTTGTCTCCACAATAAAATTGTAAGGTTGAGTATTGCTAAGTACAATAAGTAACCCATTGCTAAGTGCAAAAGCATTCCTCTACAATCAATATAAACATTTGTAAATAATTTTCTTTTCCTATAAAAGTTAGCATTAAATAAACAAAAATTACATCTCTGTCAATGGAGCTTGAAACAAATTTTCTATCAAGTTATTCAAGTCAAATGACTTAAAAAGAGTCTACTTATGATTTTATGAACACCCATGGATTATTTAAAGATGAAAAAGTAAGTGGTTTTACATATGAACAGCATGAGAGCAGGTTGATAGTCTTAATATTCAGGTTTAAATATAAACACATTTTGTACAGTCTCTCATATTACCAGAGGATGACGTTGATGTTTGATAATCAACACTGAAAGACTACAGAGTAATTTATTGGTATTTAATTAACATAAAAGTATAACCGATCCAAATCTAATCATATCTAAAACTAAATTATAAGTATGTAAACTTGTGTATGGTCTATAACACATAAGGTTTATCTATAAAGCCAGTATATATACACACATATATAAATATATTAGCTGATTTCCTCCAGCCTAAATTCTCAGTACTGCAACTCTCTTGCTGCATTGTTGCAGTGGCTTCTGATAAATTAGTTATTGTTGACTGAAAGAAAATTACTTTCCTCCAATAAATTTTTTTTTTTAGGTTTAAATCTCTGTCTTAGTGATTTTGTGTCATGCGAGTGAATGAATTCACCATTAAGGATGTATTAACAGTAGATAAGAATTCAGTGATCACCAAAAAGTTAGGTCATTAATTAAACCCATAGTAGTTGTCAATACCTAGAGGGCCACATGGGGTTTCCTTGGTATGTTCACAGAGTCTCTCCCTCATCAGTGACATTAAAGATTTTTCTATTTTTTCCTTTTTGACCAGATCATATAGCCTATTGCTTGTTTGCATTATCCATTTAGTTTAAAACCTGTTGGATGCCTAGAGTCAAGACCCAAATGAGACACCTTGGCTCTCACCCTGAAGCTGATGTGCAGCATAGCTTTTCTCAAGATCCCCCTGTAAAATTTTTTTACAAGTACAATTGAGGTCCTTTAGTTCTGACACACAAAAACATTACCAGCTCAAACAATACTGACTTTTTCTGAATTTTCCATTTTACACTCTTAGCAAGGGTTCTTAGGTTTTATATAGCAATCTTACCTTACTCGGTCCTCAGAATCTCCAAGTGTTTTCTCCAGGTTGGAAAAATCCGGGTAATAAGAAGCAGAAGGAGAAATGACCTCTAGGACTCCAGACTGGACTTCTCTGGGGAAGCTGGGAAGAATCTTAGTAAGACCCCATTCCTCAAAAAGACTTTTGAGGGCAACAGCAACAGACAGCAGCTCCCCAAAGTTAGGTCTGCTCCTCCAGAAGTGGAATGCACAACTCTAGGAAAGAAACTGGCCACAAATTTGGAACCAAGAAGGGGTCTTTAACAACCTTCAGAACAGACAGGTCAAGAACTCATCCAAGTCTCAGAAAAAACTGGAGAGAAGTCTTGTCTCAGAAATCCTGGCCCTCCTGCATCTGTAGATGCTTACTAATCAATCCTGAGATAGTTGCCACAATGCAGCAGTAATTCACAACCAAACCTATTATCTAGAACAACACACATCCCCCTTGCATGAGAGCTCCCTTCCTTACACTTGCTCCAACTCAAATTCTACTTTCTAAGCAAAATTATACTGTCTCAGAGCAGGAGTTTAAAATCAGGAGTCTGGGTCTAGTCTCTGCTCGAAGAATTAAATTTTCCATTTGAAGAGACATTGGAAAAATGTATAACATACTTTGGGAGCCAAACCTAGAAGTCAAATTTCCCCCTTCCTCCAAAAAAACCACAAAACAACCAACCAAAAAATTCAAACTAAAAACCACCAAACAAACAAGAATCTCAACAAAAACAAACAAACAAACAAAATTTTAAACCCTAACACAAAACAGGTAAAGCTTTTAAAACTGAGTTTCCCATTTCCTATGATTAGTAAACAAAAGATTACACTAAAAATTAAACACATCATAGTACCAGCATTATGGGAAAAAAATATCAATCTTACTGTGTAACCGTGACAAAGCAAATACTCTGCAATAATGTTTTCAAAAGCCATAAAGCAGTAATTAAAATTTTCTGAGTGTTTAAATTGCAGCAGGTATTGTACCTTGGCAATGCCAAGGAGTGCCTCTTCCCCTTGTCCTTGCCACAGTACTCCCATTGAGCTAAACCCTCTGAAGGCAGGAAATTATGAATATTACTTAGATAACAGCTTCAGTATAAGGAATCTTCAGGGGGAAACCCACACACAAAATACAGTCTGAGAAATCCTTGAGTGAAGGAGGATGTGCAGAAACCCTCAAATGAGGAGAAGTCAACTCTTCCAGTGATCTTGTTCAAGAAAGATAAGAGCAAGCAGAACTGCAGAACTGCAAGCTTCCATTTGACATTGCTAAAGTTAATTTGGTAGGGCAAAGACCACCCATCTAATGTTACCCATCATGTAGTAGCATTTAATATTATAAAAGCAATCCCATTCCTGCCCCAAGTCTATTGCCTTCCTGAAAAATAGTAAAAAAAAAGGAAACAAAGACTGGGAAAATATGGATGTGTTGTGGCACCTGGGGACATAGTTTAGTGGTGGCAGTGCAGGGCTAATGCTTGAACACTCTTGATCTTACATGTCTTTTCTGACCTAAGGAATTCTATGATTCTATGATGTGGGAACTGACTCAGCTGGGATAGATCATACTTTGGACTGGGTTCCTGTCACGGAGGGAATAAACCTGAGGCCCTGGGAGGAGGATACTGAAAAGGATGGAAATTAGGATGCTACTGGGATCATTCCACAATAGGTCATGTCCCTGGTCCGTGTTTGCAATTTAACCCCTGCCCTCAGGTACCCATATACATTGTTAGGTTAACCACACCCCCTGGATTTCGGATGCAACCCCTCAGACCATGCAGTCCCAGTGAACATGAAAATCTATCTTTGGGCTCGCCATCATACCCGATTTATTTCACCATGCTCGACCCCGCTGAACTGGACTAGAGGTCTCAGAACCCCACTGTGACACTATGACAGATGCCAGATTACACTGCAGGGTTGTGTAGTCAGTGGGGACCTCGTACATGTAGCCTCAGGTGCATGAATTGCTGTGGGAAACAGTAAAGGTAAGAAGACTTTCAGAAGGTGTGAAAATAGGCCTCAGAAAAGAAAAAGCAGAGAACTTAGAGCTAGCTGCAAGGCTTGAAAAGTAAAGATACAATAATGCAATATGCAAGGACGTGAAACAGTAGTTGAGTTTTTTAGGCTTGGCTAAGATAGACCTTAAGACTGCAGAAAAATATGCTTACCAAGAAAGTTTTAAGCTTAATAACAGAGTATTGTATATAGTTAGTAGAAAGCAAACGAGCAAGCAGTGTTTGAAGAAGGTGTATGTGTGTTTCCAGTGATTGGATAGAACAATTGTCTGTAAGCTTTAGCGATATGCTATTGGCTGAAAAACTTATAAAATGTTCTGTAACAAAGAGATCTTGGGCTGCTCATGGCAGATATGAGCTTTTGCCATCTCCTGTATCTGTATCTGAGACTAGTGCCCGAAATAAAAGCTTGTGACGCATCACCTGTTTGTGAAAAACCTCCAACAAACTGCATCATTAACTTTGTGGGGAAAAGACTTAGGCTTGAGTAAATATTTATCAGAGATTTAAGCTGAGATCTTGACTGGTTAGTTAAAGTATATTTATTAAATAAGAAATGAAAACTAATTTGATATACATACTTCTGTTCTCAATTTCACAGTTGTTATGGCACACATACTGAGACTGCACCTTTGCTTCAGTTCCATTTCAGTGTTGAAACGTTCTAATTCTCCCCATAAAAGCTACAAATATGTTTACACTGGTGGTTGAGTGTTACATTCTGTAGGACTTACCTGGTTTTAACACTTTCTGCAACACTCTTAACATACTCTGCGTTCACCTAAAGAAAAGAAGGGAGGGTTTCATTAAAAGTCATCCATTTTTGTATTAAACAATACTTTGTAGGGAATATGTATATGCAAACAATTTTTGCCTTCCAAACAAATGTGGTATGTTACAGCAGTATTTCTACTAAGGAAAACTATAGGCTTTTCAAAGCAACCAAACTTTCACTTTTGTTTCCAACTATCTCCAGCTGCCATTTCTTGCACTTTTTTTTCCTTGCTTTTGCAGAAGGCCAGGCTGTTTTCTGACTAAAATTCTGTTCAGCTATGCCAGTAAAACACAGCCATATAACTATCAGTAAAAAGAGCATCATTTTACATCATTAAACATCCAAAAATCACAAAAAATACATAAGGCTGATAAGAAAAATCACCTAAGCAAAATATTCTAAAGCCAGCAATACTTAACATTTTTATTGAGTTTCTTCCTAATATAGCAAACTTATGGCTCTTTGTTTGGAATTTTTGAAGACATTCATTAGTGCTGTTTCATAAAAGTAACAGTTCTGGTGTGTGAAACGTATCTGTTAACTACATTAAGAGTGCAAAATTTTATGAATGTGCTTTCTAAGGCAACACAATAACTGTCCTAGGAGTTCAGATTTTTCTTTAAATAAATAATATTTTTAATATATAACTGTTACCAATCATATATTAAATTTGTCATGAGTAAAAAAAAAAAGTAAAGAAGTGTGATAAGAAAAAAAATACCCAGAATTTAAAAATTACTCTCAGTCAATAAGTTAACTCAAGTTTAACCCATGATGTAAATATTTACCTTGTTTTTTTTAAAACTTTGTGGGACAAAGCAAGGTGTGGATTCATGACCAGTGAACACACCTGCCCTCCTCTCATAATAAAATATTCTTATCACCCCTCAGATCAGCATGGTTATCTGCTCCAATTTACTACATGGCTGAAAAAATGGAAGTTGTGAGAATATGACTTTTGGGTTGGGATAAAAGGAGTAGTAATTCTTACAATGGCAGTTTAATCCTAAATTGGCTGATATGGACTATTACTATAACCACAGTCCCTGTTTGTTCAAAGTGCCACATTAGGACTCTCCACAATGGAAAACTATTCAAAAGTTAACCCTTAAAACTCACAGAATCCTCTGAAGCACTATAATAGGAAGTTTACCTGAATGACAGCCAGGCAAAGCTCATCACTACCAGGGCTCTTCATTGGGAAATACCAACTGCAAATTAAGTTCAGCTCCTAAAAACTATGCTGAAGAGGAACTACAGCCAATAAAACTGGTACTTCATACTCATCATTGTGATCCAAACAGAAAAGTGGAAGTTGTGGCCAAACTTATTAAAGTGAACTATACTCTGTGTGACACTTTCATACCTGCAAAAGTGATGACTAATTAATAAAAAATAGCAAATTCTAACTGTCAATGAATCCATGCATGGATTTCATGCTATGAAAGGACAAAGAAATATGAAGAATAAAGATGAAGTTTGAATAATTGCACAGTCATTTTACCTGCTAGAAGCTATTACTAGCTAATTCTGCAGGGGTTTTTTTTCTGATGTAATCAAGGTATTTTTGAGTTAGAAAAAAACCCAACATTTATCTCTAATATCTTCCCTTGAGCACTGTTTACTTTCCCAAACCTGTTCAAGGTCCTGAACAGTTGTTTTATTTTGAATGGGAAATGCCAAAACACATGCAAAAGGCTCCAATATGTCAAGATGCTTTGTAAGATATATGTTATCAAGCAGATAGTCTAAGAAATGTTCACATTATTTAAGTTTATTTTTTTCATATTCTATGGCACTTTTCTGCGGAGGACTTACATTTCATTCTGGAAGAAGAAAACCTTACTTTCAGAGACAAATAATGAGTTCATATGGTTGGAAAATCTGACCCAATGACTTTGTTGGTAAATGTAATATGACATTTTACCCTTTGATCATCTGCATTACAGGGTTTTTTCCAACATATGAACACTAAGGTACTAACTGCTCACCATCTCCTCCAGCCCTGAAGAAATCCTTCCCAAAGGCCAAGCTACCACTATTTTGCACTATTACATGACATAAATCTGCATATTGTCTATCAGCATTCTTCACCTTTCCATGCAAACTTACCTCTGCTATAAAGATGATTATTATGCAGTCCTTCTTTTGTTCTTCAGATAGTTGGTACAGTAGGGAATGCAATGTATCAATCAGATAATTTTGTTTTTCCCTTTTCACCGTAGGAATACCCATCACCAGGGAGACTGCAAATAGAGAATGCCTCAAGCCATGTAATTTTAAAGAAAATTGAAATTATATTTTAATTTTGATTTGATATGACCATGAAACTTGGCAACAGTTAATATTTCCTTAGCTGTGTGACAGCATTTGCTCTACTACCTGGAAGGAGAGATACCTCCAGCTGTGTTTAGTTTAGACACACCTGTGTCTGTGTTATAAACACCAGGTCTACACTTGAGAACTTGGAGATATTACTATGTCTGGCAAACACATAGGTGTTTGCCACTGAGATTCAAAAGTGAGTTTGCAAAATAAGTGCTTGCTCTTGCTTTGGAGATCTAAGTAGGAAGGGTTAAACCAGCACTGCTCTAGTGAGCAGGTTCTCATAGGTAGTGAATGCGATGTATTTCAGAAAGGAATCCACTTCAAAAATCCTGAGCAGTTTAATTTATATGCATCAATGTTTTTCATAGCATCAATAAGAATAAAAGAACTAAGATGTTACTGTTATTAAAAATAAAGGAACTGAAATTGTCTCTGGCAAAGACTCTGTAGCAAACCTATGCTGTATTACATTGCTAGACCATAAGCAGGGTGTCTCTCTTTTCATTAGTATGGGCATTACTTAAATCAGTGGCCAAACATAGCTCAGTAAACCTGTGGAATCTTTTTCCTTGCAGATGATTTCTATTCACCAAAATCTCAGAAGGCTGGTAAGCAAGCAACAACTTGAAATAAAACAGTAAGTGCAAATAGTGACTTGGTTCTGACTTTAACTTCCATGCCAGTGTCAGCTCAAAAACGCCGAAGTGCTAATGTTCCTTCCCAGCACATAACTTGCTAAACCATTGGGGTTTGTTTCATTTTATAAACTGAAGGTCAACCTGTACCTATTTAACTACAGTCTTGCTATTGTGATTTTCCTGTACAAATAAAAGAAGATTAAACAGAGTATTTATTTGTGACACTGATCTACAGGTACTCCAGTAAGAGCTACAACATTAGATCACATTGCTACAACTACACCTACTAATAAGTAGTCTGTAGAAAGTTATCTATTGTCATGAGCATGGCCCAAGGTTTGGAGTTTTTCAGTTAAGTCAAAAACACTGCCAGTGTTTCTTCATACAAAATCACCCTAGAGAAAAGTAAAAATTTCAACAAAATACAAAACTCAGGAAAATGGTTGACTAGCTTCTTCTTTGCTTACTATTTTTGCATGTTCCTTTTACCTGTCACATGACAGTTAAGACAATGCAAAATTTGTATTATAGTCTGTTACCGCTGAAGATGAATAGATCACGCGGACACAGGTCGAGGTGTGGTGCAAGAAAGAGCAGAGTTTATTTTTCCTCCCAGGATTTATAGGCTCCTGACCATGGCCAGGGATTGGATGGTCAGGATAACACTTTCTCACTGCACTGGCCATGAGAGATGCCCATCACAAGACGTGTAACAGAAAGAATGTACACATATCTATGTTTACAGTTACTGTCCTGGGAAAGTCCTTAGAAAACTATGTTAGCAAGCTCAGAAGCTGAGTTTTCAGGGCGACAATAGTCCACTGGAATTCATTACGATTTCTACAGGTGTCAGCCAATTTCTCATGTGGATGAAAAAGCTACACTGAAGATATATTAATATCCTTTAAATGATCACATCACCTTTCCCTTTGCTTTTCACATTGCCAAACTAAATGCATTGTAAATTTGCCTTGGCTTCCTCATCCATACTAATTTTGTGGGGAAAAAATGTCAGCTACTGCATATTAGCCGTATGAATATATGATTAAAACAAAAAATAATCTTGTTTTTTAAGTAAGATTATTTGTATTGATTTTTCAAAAGGATTTCAGAATACTTTGAGTCCTTGATAAAGACTTGAAATAGGGGTGGGCATTTTAAAAGTACTTTTGCTATTGCCATTAAAATTCATTCAGCTTGGTAACATTAGAAAATTAAGAGAGAAAATCCATTCCAAACTTTTGAGTATGCTATTAATTTCATTGCTAGAAATTAATAAAAAATACAAACACATGGAAAATAGAAGCTAAGCTTTATTTCCTACCTCCAGTTCTCTGTTGCCCAAAAATAACATTTGGGAAAATTGCATCTACATATTCTCGAAGATGAGGGAGATAGTAGTACATATTTGTAAGATGCATGGGGAGTTTTCTGGGGAGGTTTAAGTCTTTCCACTTGATATCTCCTTAAAGACAAAACAAACACAGAGATACACATAAAATAAAAAGCAAGTGGAGAAACCTATTTCTTCACCTGTTCTGCTCAACTGAACACTGGCAGATTATCACACACAAGGTTATTCAATCAGAACTATTCCTCAGAAATTATTATATGTCATATATATTACATTATATTAAATTGAGAATTTCCCAGTACAACTCTTCCCATTCAGCTGGTGGTGCAGAGCTCCAATCTTGAGCATCCTGGGAACACTATTTCCCTGTGTCTGCACACTTGCAGGACTGAGTCATCTTTAAACACAGTAAGTAGTTATTTTAAAGGCAGTAGTAAAAAACTGTTTACTGTTTGTTTGTTTTACATGGTTGGCAAACAAATTTTTAATGAAAAGAAACACAGATTCTGATTAATAACCTTCTTAACTGCTTTTTAAACTTAAATGCTTTCCCTAAAAAGTAACACATGGTGGTTTTCACAGCTCAAGCAAAAGTTCTCAGTTTATTAGAAGTCCTATGGTAAACAGAATGACTACATACAGGCCTTTAAAAACTATTCAAGGAACAAAAGGCTATAGCATTTAAGAGAAAAGCAGAGATTTTGTTTTTCTTTACTACTTTAAAATAAAGACGAAAACAATAGAATGTTTATTGACTGAGATGGAAAGTTACTTTTCCCAAGAAATGCATCTAAGATAACTCCCAAAATTTATCACCCTTAAAAGTTATGTACAAGTATCACAAAAACCATCATCAGCTTTATTCGCTCAGCTTAGGTTAAGAAAGGCAGAGGCTTACTGAATGAGCAAAATTTTAAGTTTTTCAACTTCCAAAAGATGAAAATCAGGACGAAAAAGAGATTTCCTGCCTTACAGAAAACAGTTTAAAAAAACCCCAACCAACCATATATATGTGTCCAGATATTTGTGTAAGAGACAGAGATCCACAAGTCCTTCCACACTGTTAAGCCATGAAATATACTGGCATTTTGCTGTATAGAAACCACCTTCACAACTTTTCAAGGACTTCTCCTCCTTTTATTTGGAAGTAGTACATATCAAGTATTGTCCAAGGGAGTTTAGTTCCATTGACTACAATAAATCTTTCAATTTTGGTTGTATCATAAAACATGGCTGAAATGGGAAGCAGGTTAAGTGAAAATAAAAGGAAAATTATTCAGCGATTTTAAGAAATTTCCTGTGAACAGATTTATACTTTCTCAAATTTAGCTGACTCCAATAAGAATCAAAAGCAGGGGGAAGGGGAACTTGCACTCTCCTTTACTGCCATTTTGTGCATCAGGCAGTAACTCTTTGCCCACAGTATGTAGGGCTACTGCAGGCTGACAACATGATTCTATTCTAAAGCTCCTAAGGCCACCACCCTGCCAATGCTCAGGCCTTTGTTTATACACATCTGAACAGTCCCAATGAATTAATATCAGATAAACAGACAAAAACTGGCAGAGGAGAACAGCAGAAGAAACAACTGACTATTCAAAGAACAAACGCACCTTCTGCTTTCTTCCCCTGTAACAATCCTGGTTAATGCCCTATTTTAGTCTGATTATCAGCCTGCTGTACTGAATGAAAATAAGGATTGTTAAATGGTAGTTTTCAGTCACACCCAGACTCTTTCTGAAGTTTCTGAAATTTCTGAAATTCCTCCAGCACAGAGATGCCTCTTCTAGTTTCCTTTCTCTCCCCAGGGAAGCTCTGCCAGTCTCAAAGGGAAGAAAGATCCTGCACAACTACATAATTTATTTTAGGTGACAAAATCAGTCAATGTATTGCATGCAACTACAGTGTGCAGACAGATAGAGATGTACCACAGTCTGGAAGGCAAGGTAACTAAAAAGTTCAATTAAACAGTGGGAAGAAGCCAGATCACTAAACTTTACATGTTGGTGTCCCAAAAAAACCCAAAAAAACAACCAAAAAAAGCCAAAGAAAATCCCTACAAACCTGTGTGATTTTTTGTCACGTTCATTCTTCTTGCAACTATATGTTTAATTTCATCTAAGGCACTGCTCAGTTCATGTGATCTTTTTATATTTTCCTTTTCAGCATACAATAGTCTTTGCTGAAGTTCCAGCAACTGGTATTGGTATATATCTAAGTCATTTCCTGCAATAAGAACACAATTTATTTTCTAAAAGGTAATTTATATGATGGAATGAAGTTAAAGGATAGGTTATGGTCCAGAAGATCACATCACCAAAGTGTATAAACAATAATAAAATTTATCCAGGAGAACTAGTCTGGAAGAGTATTAAGAAGGTAGAGTTCAGGGAGCACAGCTGGATAAAGGTAAATTGAAGACAAAACCAAGAATATGAAATCCATAATAAGGAAAAACTCAGTGAAAGACTGTGAGTTGCTGGGGAAGGTGCTACATTTTTCACCAAATAACAAACTATGATGATCCTTTTCACACTGAAAAGTATAATTATGTAATGGCACGTCTTGTGTATCAAACACTATTAAGAATTAGACATATTGAAAGCAGTCTTCATCTATGAGTTACAAGGTGTCTGGATCATGTTAAGAAGTATTACTAAAGATGGTTATATAAAGCAATACTTCAATAACATTGTCCCTTTGCAACAGAGAGTAAAGAAAGTAGAAAGGGACTTCTGCCTCATTTTAAAATGTTTTATAATGCTGCTTCTTTTATTGGTCTTGTTGTGGCTTGGCTTTTTTCCTAGTTAAATGCTGTTATTTAGAGACTTCTCCCATTCTATTTGTGGGCTATGCTAAGTTTTATCTGTGGCACCTCTCATTTTCTAGGACCCACCATTGTCTCTCTGGAAAAGTGAATTCCCAGGGATCCTAACATGTAAAAGGCACTATGAGCAAAATGCAGAGATAACACAAATTTGTGAGGATTTGCAGAGGTGTTTCAAACTGGAATTAACTTGCATTCTGGATAAACAGGGGCTTTTTTATCTACATTAAACACAAGTCCTTAATTTAATCAGTAAATGTGTGATTGAAGACAGTTCAAAACATCTAGGAAGAAAGCAGTTAGAAAAAAAGAAGTAAACATATAATGTATATTATCATTATTTACCTCATTAAAATTTTAAAAGTTGCTTAATAAAATCCCATTAATGCTTTCTAAAATTTTTGACACCCTTAAAAATGTTTGTAAGAAAGGCATTTGTATCTATGAGTACATTATAATATGGAGCTATGAACATAAATTTAGCATTGCTGAAGGGAGGGAAAACCTGGATTATTTCAGCTTCATGTAACAAGACACTTCTACTTGATTGAAGTGAGCTTCCCTAAGAAAATTGGAGAATAAATTATAAAAAACAACAAAAAAGCCAAATGGAAGGTCAAAACAGATGAAGAATCTATCTTTAAACAATATAAAATAGATAAAATAGATTAAAATATATTTCAAATTTAAAAATCTGTCATAAGGCATCAGGCTACAGAGCTGAACCCCGAACAAGCTAAATTTTTTGGCATACCTAAGGAAGATCTCTTTCATCAGCTACCATATAGGAATACACTTTCTCATTTGTGCTTTTCTTCTGTAGCTGTGTTTCCAATGCCATAATCCAATCTTTAGTTTTGTTTTTTTTTTCCTTTAGAATGTATATGAACAAAATTAAAACAAAATATTTAAGCTGATTTATGTGACTGGCAGATAGCCATCACACCATTTTCATAGGAAGAAAGTGATTCCAGATCAATAAATACATGTAAATATGGTAGAGATTTACCTTACAATTCCTAGACAAATTCAGAAATATAAGCTAAAGATACAGTAATGGATGTTTTAAAATCCAGTTTATAGAAGGAATTGGTGAAGAAATTGCAGACGAATTATAACATCATAGTCCTTCTCTTCATAATTCTCTCAGCTATGCAGTGCCAGTGTGACTCAAAATGACCAGTGTCATCACTGGGCTGACTTTTTGGCAAGCACCAAGTAATGGCAGTTGTATTTGCTTACTTACAGGTGAGCCTACCAAAATGTCACAGGTGGTTCTTGGAAATAAAATGTCAATACTCAACTATCATTGAGTCCACCCAAAGAAGGTGGCATTTATAATCGGCCTTATCTATTTCTTCAGGCCAGAAGAGGGAAACCACATTTGTAAGTCTTTCAGAACTGAACCCTCTGTTCAGTTGCTAACTGAACAAGATTCTTAGTAATCACTAACCTCATTTTTTGATGGCTCAGGAAGTAAGGATTTGACACAAGGAACGTAATATTCACCCTTGGTGTCCTGGGGTGACTTTATGATCTTATATCCCCAATTGCCTGGTTTATGTTACACATTAAGTTCTGCACCTTTAAGAGTGGCTCTGATAGTGAAGGGGGGAAAGAAGAAGCCGCAATTTGTGTTGAAAAAATACATCACTCCTCTGCATCCTGCTCCTGGACTGTGATGTCTGCAGCATGGACAGACAGAGGGACAGAGCTTCTCTTTGGCTTTTAGTTAGTTTTAGCTAGCTGAGGCAGAGAAGTTCCCTGGACCTTTTTTTTTTTTTCTTTTTTTCCTTGGATCTGTTCAAACCTACTCTGGACTGAAAAAACCCCCAGCCAAACCCAGGGAGCTCACGCCTGTGGCCCACCGGGGCCTGGGCCTCGGCACTTTCCAGCACCAGAGGGACTGATAAGAACCTGAGTGAGCCAAGCTACACCACATGAAAAGGACTTTTCCTGGATTTGCCATCTCATTGAACAGTGAGAGGTTTTATTGTTTAATATTATTAAATTTCTGTTAAATAAACAGGGTTTTTCCACTTCTCTCCAAAGAAATCTCTTTTCCTGAACCAGTTGGGGGCAGGGGCCGCTTGGATTTGCTTTCTGGGGGGATCCCATTTGGAGGCTCTCTCCCAAATTTGCCCTAAACCAGGACACTTGGTGAAGAATTAATTTATTATAAAAATATATAGTTTGAAATAGAACATGGAATGTTCTAAATTTTACTAGAGGAGATGTAAATAAGCAAGATTAACTATTACTAAACTTTTGGCAAAAAAATTTGTGTTTAGAAAGCAATATGAAGCTAAACACCCTAAATATTTCAACAGTCATTGAGTTTAAATGAATTTGTGTGTATGTGCATGTGTGAAAAATGTTCTTTCAGCATCTAATGATCCACAGAGAACAAAAACAGCTGCTTGCAACAGATTGCTTAGAAAGACACAGGGCACTTTTACAAACACAGTGCTTCCTGACAAGGAGGGTCAGGGAGATGGAGCATTGACTACAGCATGAAACACTCTCTGTGCCCAGCAATAGCCTGGCTTGGCAATGCCTTGTCTAACAATGGCTCTGTCAGCAGTGAGGAGTGTCAGAAGAAAACCAGAAAAGGGCAAGGTGAGGACCTGCAGCAAAACTCCAAAAAGCAAATTAAGGTAAAGAAGGCCCTGCAGAGAGACCCCAACAAATAAGTGCTGGGCAATCACCACCTGTAGGAATTTCAACAAGGGCAAATGTCAGATTCCACATCTAGAATGGGACAATCCTGGATGTAGGGACAGACTGTGGAATGAGAGGCTGAAGAGCAGCGCTGTGCAAAGGGACCTGGGGTCCTGGTCTATGAAAAGTTGAATGTGAGTCAGCAGTGCCCTGGGAGCCAGGAGAGCCAACCCTGTCCTGGGGGGCATCAGGGACAGCATCGCCAGGTGGGCAAGGGAGGGGATTGTCCCGCTCTGCTCTGCACTGGGGTGGCCTCACCTCGAGTGGTGGGGGCAGTTATGGGTGCCACAATATACAAAGTACATTAAGCCATTAGAGAGGGTCCAAAGGAGGGGTCTGAAGGGAAAGCTTTATGAGGAACAGCTTAGGCCTCTTGGTCTGTTCAGTCTGAAAAGAGACCTCATTGTGGTCTCCAGCTTCCTCAGGAGGGAAAATGGAGGAGCAGTGGAAGGCCCATACTAATCTCTGTGGTGACCCGTGACAGGACCCAAGAAAATGGCATGAAGTTGTGTCAGGGGAGGTTTAGGTTAGATATCTGGAAAAGGAAAGGTTCTTCACCCAAGGGGTGGCTGGGCACTGGAACAGGCTTCCCAGTGCGGTGGTCACATCACCAAACCTGACAGAGTTAAACAAACTTTTGAACAACACTCAGGCACATGGTGTGATTCTGTGCAAGGCCAGGAGTTGGACTAAATTATCCTTGTGGGTCCATTCCATCTAAGCATATTCTGTGATTCTATGTAAAGGCTTCTTCCCTTGGCAAGCTGAAGGTGGTTCACTCTGATAGGCCAAGAGTGGTTTACTGAATTTCCCTTCTCGGAAAAGTCAATGGGGCTACACTAGCTACAAGCCATGGGAACAAAAAAGGACCCAGCCACCTCCCAGACACAGTGATAGCACTCAAAAAGTTTTGCAGTGAATTTTCAGCTCTACTGTAGCTTTCCTCTGTTAACCGCACATTGGCGTATATACCTATGGATCCTGTAATTCTAAGATAGCAACATTTTAAATGGTTTTAAATGCACTCTTGTGTTATCTCCTAAAAGATACATTATATACATATATATATACACACATATATATATAAAACTTTCCACAGTGCAGATTGAAACTGTTTAGAAACAATACCAATCTCTAAAGCAAATTCTCATTCTAAAAGCCAACTGATTATTTCTTTTAGCTCCACACGTATATACTTCCTGTATGTTCATAAATGCTTCCAGTCTCATTAATGATTTCTGGCAATATCTAAGAACTGTGGAGAAATTCATCGGTATCTCCTCCTAGCACTCTAACAAAAATAAAAAATTAAAGAAAATAAAAATAGAATTTGGGGTAGCAGAAAGGAGAGAAGAAAACACTTCAACGTCTAGCAGTGAATCTTGTTCCTATTCCTTGTTCACAAGCTACATTGTTTATCATGCCTAAAGACTGTTTCTTTTAGAAATTAAAATTTGGTTAATGGCCTCCTTAAAAGAAAACTATATAAGCACACTAACTGCAAAAGATCTTGTCATACTCTGTGCTTGGAACCACTGCTCACTGTTCAGGTTAATGAGGCATATTGAACTACTGAGGCATGCATTGCACTAATAACTAGCAGTTCATTATCTCTCCATAACTGATATAATATACCTTTCTGAATCTTGTTACATGCTTTGCATGCTCGGGTTGTGTG